TGTTGGACATATGGAGGATAGGGATGAGAGGAGCTGGGATCTCACAGCCAGAACATGCTGCTGTGGAGAAAGGGAACATGGAATCACTGAAAGAATCCCAGAATCATTGAACTCAAGGACTTTGGAGATCAAATCGTCTAACCCAGGGGTGGGGAACCTGCTGCCTCGAGGCCACATGTGGCCCTCCAGGTCCTCAAGTGTGTCCCTTTGACTGATTCCAAACTTCATAGAATGTTCTGTGAAAGTTCAGTCAAAGGGCCACACTTGAGAACCTAGAGGGCCACGTGTGGCCTCAGAGTTGCAGGTTCCCAACTCCCTGGCTCTAACCCTCTCATTTTACAAGAGAGGAAACTGAGATCCTGTTTGAATGGTTAAATGGCTAAGCCAAGTGCAAGCTTGCATAATTAATGCATAAATAACAGAGTGAAAAGTGAGGAATAGAAAAGATATTATGGAGGTGAAGAGTTGGGTGGGGGAGGAGAGAAGGTGGTAGGTGCAATTTAGATGAGTTGGGGTAAGAAGGGAAGGTAATTTTTGCCACAAAAAACTAAAATGAGATCTCTTAAATCTTCAATCATGGTTGAAGTGAGCAAAGAAAAATATGGAGAAATAGGAGCATTAATGAAGAGATAAAACCAAGGCAAGCATGAAATTTGATTCTTCCCAAGTTTTTTTTTTTTAACTCTTTGTCCAAATAGAAAAGAGAAATGTCTCCCCCCGCCCCCGCCCCGCCCAGGGCTGCAGGCTTTCAGGAGACAGACCACTGACTGGCTCCCTGAAAACGATGTGCGTACAGGTCCCACTAGTTGCCATGGTGAGGGATGCTGACGCTGAAGAAATGTATAATACAAAGCTTGGAGAGGGGTAAGGGTGGCAATGGGCTTTCTCCATCACCAGCAAAAGAGACATCAAGGAGGGACCCTAACTGTGAGGGAAGAGAAGGAAAAGCATCATTAATTCTGCTTTCTGTCTGCTCTATCACAGAGAACTGGGCTCTGGCTGAATAGTTCTCCAGGGAAGAGAACTTGTAAGGTAAGATACATCGCCTTTCTTTCTCATGCTCTGTCTGGAGAAACCCCTGTCATTACTTGGAACACAGGAGGGAACCAGGGAGTGAATCAACAAAGTCATGGCTTTTAAGAACAAAACCAGAGAGGAAGACAAAAAAGACTTAGGTAGGAATACAATGGACTGAGGGTGAGGGGAGAATGGGAGAGTGAAGCTGAATTAAATGAGGCAAGCATTCATCCAGAGAGGCAGGGAATAAATACATACATATGTATATGAAATATACATTTATGCAAATTATATGTTATTTATTTATTAAGGAACTGGAAGAGGTTTTATTAGGGAACTCAGTCTGTCAAGTGAACCAATATACCATGGCCCTGGGTCAGAATGAGGAGAAAAGCGGCTCTTTTTTACTTAAGATGATGGGGTAATCATCACAAAAATCTCCTTTCCCAGTCTGCCATAGGGTACATCTATGTATCTAAAGTAATGAACAGCCTAGATTTGGGGCAAGGCTGTGTAATGGAAAAATCACAGGCCTGGCAGTCAGCAGCCCTAGGTTCATATCCCAAATCTTCCACTATGGAGCTACGTACCCATTTCAAATCACTTTACTGCTGTGGGCCTCAGCTTCCTTAACTTATAAAATGGCAGAGTAAAACTAGATCTTCTCTAAAGTCCCTGCCACTGGATATTCTATGTAAATGAACTGGGCCCTTCATTCCTAGTCAAATTGGGATGGAGAGAATATGTGGCTGTGTGGGAGGAGATAAGAGAAGGGAGGGAATGAAGGAGAGTTCCAAGATGCAGACCTGTAATAGCCTCTCAGAGATAGGGCTTGAATGCACTTAATGAATCCCTTTAGAACCTATTATTCAGGGAAGGGATGCTTAGCCAAATGGAAGTGATATTTCCAAGCCTGAGTGTTGTGAGCTCGGATGAAAAGCAAGAACTGGAAAATCATTTCAGTGCCATATAGTTTCCTGTAGTTCAGTTCCCTTAAGAAATATAGGCAAGGTTATAAGGAGGTGGTGATAGGGAAATAATAAAATAACAGCCCCTTGGTGAACTCCAGTTCACATTGCATTGTCTAATTTTTACTGTCTTAAACAGTGATATGAAACAGTGTGTGTATATGGGGGGAGATTTGTGCCCAGATTTGCATATATTGAGTATGGCTGCTTCCTAATATTACAGCAAGAACCTACAGAGAGAGTTCAGGAAGTGCAGGTGGCATGGTACAGAGGAAAGTCACTAAACCTCTCTGGGCCTCAGTTTCCTCGTTTATAAAATGAATGGTTTGGAGTAGAAGGTTTCCAAGGTTTCTTCCAGCTACAAGTTGGCAGAAAAGAAGCAATCATGGCTTCCCTTCTTTCCCCCTTCAAGGGAGCCTCTTTGGGGTTTTACTTGACTTGGTGAACTTTCCTGGTAGCCAGGTGCCTCTCCCCACCAGCAGCCCTGAGTTTTGCTAGGGTACCCAGGCAGAGATCAGCAGTTCTGTCTTCAGATGTGCCCCACTGTGAAGGGCTGGCTACCTTGGGTTGCAAAGTTGGCTTTTGTTGGGTGCAGCATTATGTGAGACAGGAGCTGTATGGCACAAAGCCCTCTCCCATGTTATCAGGCATGACGCAGTTTAAAACCTAACGACTAGGAAAAGGGGAGCTATCACAGAGGAAAGAAGCTGCATAAATTGAATTTGAATAGGTATCTGAGAGCTCCAGTGACTAAGCCTGAAGCTTCCTGTGGTTTTGCCTCATTTCCACTCCTCATCCTTTTAAAAATGTTTCCTTTTTAGACCATTCAAAGATGTTCACAAGAATGGAACAGGGGAGAAGTATTGTTACTCAAACAGGGCGAAGCTCCCTCCTATTTAACCTGGAGAGCTAAATGAGGTTGCCCAATACCCATGGAGACCACTGCATTCCATAGCCCAGGCAAAGCAGACAAGAAGGGTGCAGAGAGGGGGAAGGAAGGAAAAGGAGGTGAAGAGGAAGGGAGGAGGTATGAAGTGGAGAGGGAGAGATGGAAAAAAGGAAAAGGCATATGTGGTGAAAGGGGGTTTGGGCCTACTCATTGCTGACTCAGCTGCCACTGTGAGGTGTCAATACCCAGAATTGCCCATCCCCCATTTGTGCCAAAGACCCTAAGTCTCTCCTATGCTAATATTATCCACATCCACCTTAGGCAGGGCCTCCCAGAGCCCTGGGCTGCTCTGCTCTTAGAGTTTGGACCAGTAGATCGTTCTAAGCTAACCTAAACTGGCTGAGGTCATTTCAATCCTTCCATCCCTTCAATTGTATATTTTTCCTTTCACTATTCTCTTTCCCCTCCTCTCAGCTCTCACATTTAATTAGTTACTAAAGTCTCATCGATTCTACCCCTGCAGTGTCTCACATCCCAACTCCTTCTCTCTATTCCCACAGATACCAAATAAGCATAGGCCCTCATTACCACTCTCTTTTACTATTTCAATAGCCTCTTAACCAATATTGCCAATTCTGCTCTTTCTCACTCCCTAAAGACATCCCATGTGCCCTGCCAGACTAATCTTTCTTTTGGCACTGAACTGATCATTTCATTTCCTTGCTCAAAATTCCTTCATGACGCCTCATCATATACTAAGTAAAGCTCATCCTCTTGAGCCTGGTTTTTTAGACCTTCCACAATATGGCCCCATATATTTCCAACCTTATTGTACATTAATCCTCCTCCAGGTAATGTGTGCTTCAGCCATATTAGACTACTCACTTTCTCCTCTATATGTCCTGAATTTACCTCTTTTCATGCCTTTGCTCATACCAATTCCTATACTTCCAATGTACTTCTCTGTCTAGCTCACCCCACCCCACTCCTGCTGAATTCTTACCCATCCTTTTAAATAACACCTCCACTTTAAATCAAGATTCCTTGATTTCTACCACCAACCCTGGAAGAGGGTAATGGCTTCCCTCCTAACCCCAAATCTCACACAGACCTTTGCTTATGTTTACTTCAAAAATTCCAAAGACCTATTCTTTCATGGCGGTGAAATGGGAGTATTCCCTTAAACAACATTGATTACAGCCGCTCCACAATTCGGGAAATATTCTCCAACTTAGTAGAGTTACTGTGACCAAAAAGAAATTCATCATCTGGTGATCAACCAGATGCGTCTCTCCAAACTGTTGCACTTAGCACAGTGCCTGGCACTTAATAAATGTTGACTGACTGATTGAATGATTGACTTAGCAAAGCTCATGTTGAAAGGATATGCCAGCAGTCCATCTCCGGGCACATAGTCAAACCCTTGGCCACTTGTTAGGACTTGCCAGGATTTGTACTTCACTGTTATAGCCTTCAAGATCCCAGGTTCCTCCTCATGCTGGGATGAGATGAGGCATTAGCAGGGGGTGTTACTGGAGGGGCCTTCCACTTACTTGGCATTGTTTGATTAGACTGTCTCCTAGGCCTGGAAGGCAGGCCTTCTTCATACATGCTCCTGGAATTTCTGGTTGTTATATTTCCTACATGAAAAGCCTTTCCTGATCCCTTAGTTGTTAGTGCTTTCTCTCTCTTCTTTAATTTAATGGGTAAGTTATCATGTATATACTTATCTGTAAGATAGAGAGGCAGCTTGATGATATAATGGCTAAAGAGCTGCCTTTGAAGTCAGAAAGATCTGGGTTCAAGTTTTACCTCTGACACATCCTGGTCACGTAACTTAGTATGAGTCATTGAACTTAGCACTCTAGGCAACTCTCTGAGACTACAAATTGTAGAAGAGTTGACCTGCACTGGCAGAAAGCATTTCTTCACCTGAGATTTTCCCATAGCAATGAAATACAGGCCTAGTCCCTATCTCTATATTTATCTGTTAAGACGTTGTTCCTCTCCTCCCCTATCCTCTCTTCTCAGTAGAATGTGAGTTCCTTGGGGGCAGTGACTATTTTTCTCCCATTGCTTAGCAGAGTGCATTGTAAGTAAGGCCTTCACAAACACTCATTGGATTGACTGTAGTTGGTATTATAGTCATTTCCCCTTTGTCTCCCCAGACTGCAAGCATATGAGGACAGGAACTGTGTCTTATTTAATTAAACTATCTCCCCCAGCCCTGAGAACAGTGTTCTGCATATAACAGGCTCTTACTAAATATCTGAATTGCCCATAAGTCTTCATGAAAAGTATGTCTTGGCCAAGCCAGGCCCTGCGTGCTACTCCTCTTCAGGTTCTTTTCCTTGGGATGTAGATTTACCAGAGTAAGGAGAATTGGTCTTTTCTTGTGCTTTGGATTTCAGAGTCGTGATGAACATTGAAGTTAAAAATGTTTCTTATACCCAAGCAACTATCTCCTGGTCCATGCTGGAGCCCTGTCTGGAGAACAATTACCATGTCATGTATAGGCCCAACTGGAACAGCATCTTCTCAGGCTACCTGCGCCACCCCTTTCACCATGAAGAAAGAGTACCTCAAACCCTCAGCTCCCTGGTCCTTCGCCAACTTGCTCCGGCCACGCTCTACTTTCTGTGCATCACCTGCAAGAATTCCTACCCCTCTGGCAACCACTGTACTATGTTCCACACCCTGGATAAAAGCTCCAAAGCTACTCATGGCTCCCAGCTGGATCCTGGCGTATCTCTCTGGGTGGTCACAGCTCTTCTCCTTGCCTGCTTCATGGCCATCTTAGCCTTCTTCTGTCTCCAGTTCTGGTGTCTGAGGTGCCATGAGCCACGGTGGACATACCGTTCAAGCCAGCAGGAGGAAGTTGATGAGTTGGTGAGGTGGGCCGAGGGCGCTCTGGGCCTTGGGCGGAGGGAGGAAGGCCTACAGGAGTTCCCCATGACAGCACTACTGACCAAGAGTTCTAGCACCATACCTGAGAGCTCCCATAGCTCTCCCTCTGCCTGCTTCTCCCACAAGGGGACTCATGATCAAGCTGTTATATTTCCTCATTGTGGCTATTAATGATGGACGAGCGGTTCAAAAGAGATGTGCCAACAGAGCACAGCCAATTTCATGACATGTGCTTAAGTAATATTGTTTGATTTTTTTCTCTTTTACAAAAAAAATTTCCTTTTCTTCTTTCCTGTGCCAGGGAAGGCTCTGTTTAGGGTCTGGATAAATGCCCAGGGATGTAAATATGTTGGCCCACTGTCAGTGCTACATAAAGCCCCCGTGGCTTCTAGCACCCAGTGGCCTCTACATATTCTCAGCTCATCCACCCTACAATCTGGAAGGGGAGAAGGCAGAGGTGGGGTGTAGAGCCAGAGAATCTTTGAGGCAGAAGGTAATTTATAGATTACCTAGTCCAACCACCTCCCACCTCTCATTTTACACTGGAGTAAGTGAAGCCTTAGAGAGATTATCTGAATTTAGACAGTGTGTGTAGTGGAAAGAGGACTGGTCTTATATTTTTAAAAAATCTGAGTCTGAGTTCCAGCTCCAACACTTACTATGTGGCCATAGACAAGTCAATTAAACCCAGTGATCCTCATCTCCTCCTTTGTAAAATGACAATAGTAACATTTGTACTAGAGAAGAAGTGTGACATTCTGGGCAGAGAGCTGACCTGGGAGTCAGGAAGACCTGAATTCAAGTCCCACCGTGGACCCACACTGGCTATGTGACCCTAGGCAAGTCATTTGAACTCTAAATGTTCCAGATTTTTTTTCTCAAACTAAAAGTTGTGGAACAGTTGTTGATCCACATTGGTGGAAGTTCTTCCTAAGGAGAACCCTATGCCAATGAAATTATAGATTTAGTCAAGAACAAAACCAAAGAGAAATCTGTGTACTCTCTACTTCACAAGGGTGCTGAGAAGAAAGGACTTAATAGGCTTTTAAGAATGAGATAAACATAGGTCATCACTATTGCCCAAGATCACACAATCTCTTTCTACTGTGGGTTGTGTCTATGGACCCTGAGTCCCAAGCCAGATGCTTGAGAAGGATCTTGATGTTAATAGTGGCAGATTTTTGTTTAACTGGAAAAAAAATTATTCTTGAATTTTGGTGGAATTTATTATAATTATAATCTCCTTAATAATTAAAATCTTCAGCTCTTTTGTTTTTCCTGTTACAAAGTCCCCTGGCAAGAAACTGTCTTCCCAGGCGAGCTCCAAGTATCAGTGACTGGTTGTGGCTGATGGTCCAAAAGGAGCATGAGGGCTTTAGGCTGGATCCATGCATGTGAATACAAATAGCAGGAAGGAAAAAGGAGACTCATTTTGGAGCTCGGGCTACAGCAGTGTGAGATGAGAGCTTGTTGGCCATTATGGCTGAAGCCAGTGAGCAAAGATAGATATCCCCTATGGCCCTACCATCCATTCCATTCCCTCCATTCCACTCCCATGCCATCACCCAGCAGTCATAGGATCACATGAGCACCTTGTAATTAGTAAAACAAGAAGGAATCACAATGGGGCAACCAAGCTCAGAGAGAGTCATTGTACACCCTCTTCCCATCCCCAGGCCCTCCCTGATAGTCAGTATGTGACCAGGACATAACAAAATACCATGTCTTTACATTGCCACGCATGATCCAGATTTTCAGCCTGAATAAAGCTGATTTTAAAAAGACTCTAGTATCCTTGTTTCTCTCTGAAGTCCTTTTATCCCTACGCCTTCTGCCTCATTTAACTCCTAGCTTGGAAGACACTTCCCTTCATGTGATCTGCTGATGTGGGTTATCCTACTGACAGTTTTACAAGGAATGTGCTGATATATCACTGACCTTGGACCCATAGAGGTAATATGGCTGAACATTGGCAGGTTTGTCCCTCTGTGGTTCCTGGGTGAAGGGAATGGCTGTTCGGACGAAGCTGACAGAGGAGAAGAAAGGGACCGAGAGTTAGATAGAGTTAGATGTGTTCTGAAATCCCAACACAGGGGGACGTGCTGCAACAAAGCCCTTTCTGAATAGAATGAAGAGAATGGGCTTGGACCATTATTAGTCCAGGAGTACCTCAAAAGCCGTGATGATCATGTTCTATCATATACAATCAATAAGTGTTTATTAACCACCTAGTATGTATGGGGCAAAGCTCAGGGATGGATGGTATAGGTCCCTTTTCCACTTTGCTTTTTTGAAGACTGGAAGGGTCATGTGGCCATAGAAAACTGAGATGGGTTTGCAGAGCTGGCTATCTCCTCTTAGGGAGCTGTATGCTTATCAAGGTCAAGTAAGTTGAGAGGAGGATTAGGGTCCAAGAAATCCCATGTTTGGGTCCAAAATGGAGGATACTCTGTTAGAATCAGCAAAAAAAAAAAAAAATACCACCCTAAAATAGCAACAGTCATGATGATCAAGCACCTGCCTTTCAAGGTTCTCCTCCTCAGACATTCTCTCATTAAGGTATTATTATCTCCCTTCACAGACGGGAAAACTACAGCCTGAAATAAGTGATTGCTTTGCCTACACGCAATCAGCAATTCAGTGGGAGAGACAGGGCATGAATCTCTAGCTCTTTATCACCATTTCCTTATATTCCACCTACATATGTGGGTATACACATACAGGTGTCCATTTGTAAACACACATATGTGACTATGTATGTAGAGGTAAATAATTAGGTTAGGGACTTGACCTGTGATTTCCTATGTATATAGAACTCCCCAGTAAGGAAGGATACCTTACCAGTGCATGTTGACACTTTCTCTCAAACTTAAAGTCTTAGATACCTAATGCAGCAGTGTCAGACTCATATAGAAATGGGAGTGTCAGACTCATATAGAAATGGGGCCATTTTAACCATGCATATGTATCCCTGCCCATTCACATGGCCATAGAAAACCACATATTAACATTTTGTTTACTGTTTGGTCATGTGTCTGACTCTTCCTCACCTCTTTTGAGGTTTTGTTGGCAAAAATACTGGAGTGGTTTGCCATTTCCTTCTCCAGCTCATTTTATAGATGAGGAAACTGAGACAAACAGTGTTAAATGACTTGCCCAGGGTCTCACGGCTAGTAAGTGCTGAGGCCAAATTTGAACTCGGGTCTGACTCCAGGCCTGGCGTTCCATCCACTGTGCCACCTAACTGTCCCATATCAACATTATCTATGCTTTATTGTCTTTTTGCTTATTTTGTTAAATATTTCCCAATTGCAATTTCATCTGATTTAGGCTCTACTACGGAGTATTTCAGGCTGTAATCGGGATGCATGTTGGACACTGCTAGCCTAAAGAACTGAAACCTCTGCCCAGGGTCACAGAGCATGTCAGAGGCAGGACCTGAACCCAAGTCTTCCTGGCTTCAAGGCTGGATTTCTAGATATTACACAATGCTGCTTCTCTTCCCCTTTTTTACATAAGGAAATGAAGACCCAGAGAGGGGAGGAGACTTGTATAGCCAAACAACTAATAAGTGGCAGAGAATGGATTCTAATTCAAGTCGTCTGACTCTTGAGTCCAGTGACCATTCTAATATACCAAGCTGTCTCTCCTCTACATTTGTTTTTCCAGGATACAAGGAGGATAGAATCTCAAGGGAATTAAACACCCATTCCGACATGTGTATCCTGTTGTGTATAAAAAGGAGGGCCTATGTGCATCTTATGTATGAAATCTGGAACTATCTATGAATATACACATTTCTGCACATTCAGGTTCCCTGAGTATCATGGTTATTTGTGAACATGATTTATTTTCCACCTAGAATGCAAGTTCTTAGAGGACAAGGGGTCACGTGTGATATCCCTTTGAGTGTAGAACATGCAGCTAGGATTTAACTCCACCACTCACTTGCATGATATGACTTGGTCAAATCCATTAACCTCTCAAAGCCTTGGTTTCATTATACCTATAATATACAGGTAATAATAATAGTATTTACACTACCAACCTCATAGGATCATAGTGAGGAAAAGCACTATAAAACATGAGTTTTGGTATCCCCTACAATACTACGTAGGTACAGTGCCATATACATGGTAGATCCTTGAGGAATGTTTGTTGACTGATTGCAGTTATGAACGGGCATATTGGGATATGCATATGTATAAATATATTCATGAACATGAGTACTATACAGCTGTGTATTTGCATGGCTCCTCTATGTGTTATCTCCCCCATTTAGAATGTGAGCTTCTGGCGAGCAAGGCCTGTTTGCTCTTCTATTTGTATCCCTAGTACTGTCCTTGGCACTTACTAAACACTCAATGAATCTGATTTAATTCATTCATTCATGTATATTCTGCTTGATGTTCAAGGCCCTCCACAGCCTGGAACTTTCCTTCGATTACATATTACATCCTTCGATGCATTCTATATACCAGCCAAGCTGGGCAACTAACTCTATGCTCCCCAATTGGCAACCTTCATGCCTCTCTGTCTTTTCTCATGTGATTCCCTATGCTAGGAATGCCCTTACAGATAGTACAGTAGATAGAGTGCTGGGCCTTGAGTCAGAAAGACCTGGGTTCAAATCTGACCTCAGATATTTACTAGTTGTGTGACCCTGGGCAAGACATTTCACCTCTGTTTGTCTCAGTAGCCTCAACTGTAAAATGAGGATAATAATAGCACCTACCTTGAAGGGTTGTTGTGGGGATCAAATGAGATATTATTTGTAAAGAGCTTAGCACAATGCCTGGCACATAGTAGGTGCTTTATAAATGCTTATTCTTGACCCCTTTATTTTTCTTCCTTTGAAATCCAATCCAATTCCATTTCCTCTGGCATTGTTTCCTGACCTCCCCAGCTGGTAATGACCCCTCCCCCTCAGTACTTTGTTTTGCACCTCTGTTCATGCATCAATCATATAATATTGTCCATTATTACCTATGTTGTTGTCTTAGTGCCCTACTAGACTTTAAGTTGCTAAAGGATAAAGACCATGCCTTACCTAAGTCTGGATCTCCCATAGTGCCTATATAGTGCTTTGCACACAGTAGGTGCTTAACGTTTATTGTAGGCACATTCTCTATGCATGCACACCCGCCCTAGAAGCAAAACCCCACAGCTTCTCTCTATCCTTCACAGAAACCCTCTTACCGGTTAGTGGATCCATTGTAGCAGTAGTTAGGGAGGAAGTCAAAGTTCAGCTCCCAGAACACATGGAGGGTGATGCGGCCATAAGGGGCGGAAACATTGTGATTGGCTTCCCGGAACATGGCATCAAAGCTGTCCAGGGTCATGTGCTTACACAGTAGCCTATGGGTTAGACGGTTGATCTCCAAAAGCCATTCGAGCTCCTGCCCCAGAGAAAGAAGACACAGTTGGTTGTCTGAGCCTTGACTGACCTCCAGGATTTTGATGAGGGGACAGTCATAAAATGACGTATATGGAAATTCTTTGAAAAGTCAAAACCGCCAAGGCAATGTAAGAGATTAAGGGACTTGAAGAGACACAAGGGAAGTTGACACAACAGGAACTTAAAAACATACATAGAGCTACCAGTGCTGTAGGTCTGATCATGTCTCCCACTTCCTCAATGAAGTCCAGTGGTTGGTTCCCTTCTATGTCCAGGATCCAATATAAAGCCCTTTGTTTGGCATTTCAAGCTCTTTTCAACCTGGACCCTTCCAGTTTCCTTACACCTCAGCTCCCTCCATGTAATCTGCAATCCAGCTGTACTTGCCTCCTGGCTGGTCTTTACACACAGCACCTCATCCCCCTTCTTTGCACCTTTGTATTCTCTCATTCTCTCTCTCTGTCTCTTTCTGTCTGTCTCTCCCTCTCTCCTCCCCCTCTCTCTTTGTCTTTCTCTCTCTCCCTCTCCTGTCTCTTTCTCTCTCCCTCTCTCTCCTTCTCTCTACCTCTCTGTCTCTCTCCCTTCTCTTTGTCACTGTCTCTCCCTCTCTGTCTCTCTTGTCTCTGACTCTTTCCTCCCTCTTACCCTCCCACCATCTCTCTCTCTTTTCTCTCTGTTTTTCTGTCTCCCTCTTTCTCTCTACCTCTCTGTCTCTCTCCCTTCTCTGTCTCTCCCCTCTCTCCTTTGTCTCTGTCTCTTTCTCTCTCCCTCTCTCTCCTCTCTACCTCTCTCCCTTCTCACTGTCTCTGTCTCTCCCCCTCTCTCTCCCTATCTGTCTCTCTTCCTCCCCTCTCTCTTCCCCCACACCCTTGCCTCTTAGAATTCTTGTCTTTCTTCAAAACTCAGCTCAAACATTTCCTTCTACAGGAAATCTTTCCTAGTTATTCCAACCTTCTTCTCTAAGGTTACTGCCCTTCTACTCTTTATGTATCTAATACACACATACACACACACACATATATACATCTAATTATTTATATATTGTCTTCCTCCATTAGAGCGTAAATTCCTTGAAGGTAGAGACTATTTTTGCCTCTCTTTGTACCTTCATAGATTATCACAGTGTCTAGCATATAGCAAGTGTTTAATAAATGTTGGTTGATTGATTAGTTAATAGTCCTTGACATATATTATCTCCTTTAATTCTATGAATAACCTTGTGATATAGTTAGGTGGTTCAGTGAATAGAGTGCTGGGCTTGGAGTCAAGAAGAGATGAGCTCAAATTTAGACTCAGATCCTCATGACCTGTGAGACTCTGGGCAAATCACTTAACCTTTGTTTGCTTCAGTTTCCTCTACTATGAAATGGGGACAATAATACCTACCTCACAGGGTTGTTGTGAGGATCAGAGATAATATTTGTAAAGCACTTAACAATGTGCTATTAATGCCTGGTTAATTACATAAGTGTTTATTCGCTTCTTTAACATTTACTATCTCCTTTAGTTCTACAAATAACTCTGTGATGTAGGTGGTGTTGTTCAGTTGTTTCAGTTGTGTCTGACTCTTTGTGATCCTGTTTGGGGTTTTCTTGGGAAAGATATACTAAAGCAGTTTGTCATTTCTTTCTCTGGCTTATTTTATAAATGAGGAAACTGAGGCAAAACTGGGTTATGTGACTTGCCCAGGGTCACACAGCTAATAAGTGACTGAGTCCAGATTTAAACTCAGGAAGATGAGTCTCCCTAACTTCAGGCCCAGGACTCTATCCATTCTGCCACCTCGTTGCCTCATGAAGTAGGTACTATAAGGAATTGGTACAGATTTGAGATTTCATCAGTGGAGGGAAATCTTATCATAGAAACTCTCTCCACCAATGAAGATCTTATTTGATCCTCACAACAACCCTGGGAGGTAGATGCAATTATTAGCCCCATTTGACAGATGAGGAAACTGAGGCAAACAGAGGTCAAGTGACTTGTTCAGAATCACATAGCTAGTAAATGTCTGAGGCCACATTTGAACTCAGGTCTTCCTAATTCCAATCCAGCACTCTATCCAATGTGCCATGTAGCTGCCTGTATGTCTGAAAGGCTACCATGTGAATGGTCCTAGACGTTAAACTAGGAACAGGATAGAAGTTAAAGATGTAGGCTCAATATATGGGAAAGCTTCCTAAAAATTAGAGCTATCCCAAACTGGAAAGTGCTGCCTTAGGAAGTAATGAGCTCCCTCTCCTAAGAGTTCTTGAAGGAAAGTCTGGATGCACACTCATTGAATATGTTACAGAGGGAATTACCGTTCAGGCACCATTGGACTACATGGCTTCAGAGGGTCTTTCTAGCTCCAGGATTCTGGGAGGTTAAACCAGATGGTCTCTAAGTTCTATTCCTGCAAAAATACTGACTCAAAAACCTATTAAAGGCCTCCTGTGTTCAGAGCACTGTTCCCTGTCCTGAGGAAGCCTGTTTCTGCCCTCCTGAAGTTTGCAGTCTAGTAGGAAAGTATGAAATATACCTATGTAACTATAATACAAAATGAAACATGAAAAGTGCTTGAGATGCACAAACCAAGGGTTCTTTAAGGCCTAAGGGGAGAAGACTAAGCCCCGACTCTAACATTCTATTATTCCCAGCACTCATTAGGTATCACGTTTCTAAAGCAGAAAGCAATGAGGCAGTTACCCTTCTTGGATTGTGGCTATGTAGCACCAAAATCTTCTCTCTCCTAATCAACATGAGCTAAGGCCACCCTGACCCAGCAAACAGAGCACTGCCTTGGGGTTACTGTACTGGGTTTTCAGAAAAAGGTGCTCTCTGGAGGCCATCTTTTTTTGTGTGATCAAAACCAGCCCCTTTTAAATTTACCAGCAAAGAGCACATTTTTCATTATGAGGAAAGAGGAGAGACCATTCTGGTCTCTGAGTTGGTCAAAGTGAACTCCTATGAAACACAAACTAACGTTACACTTTTCTGATGTGGTCTGGGGCCACCGCAATGTGCCAACTGACCGCTTTCATTGTGAAAAGCTGGCAAAAATTCACCACAAAGAGAAAAGCTTCCATTTCCCTCTCAGGTCCTATTGAAACAAAATGCTTCCCACAGCTCTCACTTTACGTTTGCCACCTAAGTCTATTTTAAATTCTGGGACATTCAAAGACATATAGAATGTCAGAGTTGGAAAGGACCTTAAACATAGAATGGAAATTGTGCTCACTTTGGATGACCCGAATTCAAATTCCATTGCTGCCATTTACCACCCGTGTGACCTTGGGCGAATCAGTCACTTAACCTCCCTAGGCCTCAGTTTTCTCATATATAAAATAATTGGGTTGGACTAAATGGCTTCTAAGGTCTCCCTCAGTTCCAGATCTATGATCCGTCATCAGAATTGGAATCAGAATACAGAATGTAAGAACTGAAAGAAACATTAGAACATAAAATATAATTTGTTTCGTTGTTCAATTGTTTAGTCATGTCTGACTCTTTGTGACCCCATAGACTCTGTTCATAGGATTTTCTTGGCAAAGATACTGGAGTGGTTTGCCATTTCCATTTCCAGTGGATCATCTTGTTGGATCACCTTTTGTTAGGTAAACAGAGGTTTAAATGACTTGCCCAGGGTCACACAGTTAGGAAATGTCTGAGGTTGTATTTGAAGTCAGGTCTTTCCGACTTTAGGCCCAATGCTCTATCCACTGAGGCACCAGCTGCCTCAAAATATAATTATGCAGCTGAAAAAGAACTTAAGAAATTCATTTAGTGTAATCCTCTCATTTTAGAGATGTGGAAACTGACACTCAGAGGGGAGAGGATCCGAACAATGCCCTTCAATATTTGTGTCACAGCCCAGAGCACATATCAAGCCCTAGATAGCTTCCACTCTAGTGCTCTTTCCTCTATGTCACCCTCAGAGAAATGCTGAGAAGAGAGGGGTCCAGGATAGGGCAGTCATGTTTGTGTTTCGTCCTCCAACCTTCCAGTAATACCTGTTCCTGCATTTTATTCTTAGCGTCTGGGGGAATAAGCAGCTATGCCTGTGAGTCAGGAACAGAACTCATTCCTGGAGAATGTCAAAGAGTTGGCAAAATGATTTTCTCTGCTTTTGTTTCTGATTAGAGAGCATAGGATCGTAGATTTAGAGTGGGAACGGACTTTAGAAGTCACTGAGTCCAACCCTCTCTTTATAAAATGAGAACAGGAATAGAAAGGTTACATGATTTGCCTAACATCATACAGCCAGTCATTGTCTGAGGCAGGATTTGAATCCAGGTCTTCTCTTCCTGATTCTAAGGCCAAAACTCTATCTACTAATACCATGTTTCCTCTCAATTTTGCTCCATTGAGGATGGGAAAAAATAAGAGATCCATTTCTCTTCACAGGAAAGCCACTCTATAAACTGTAACTAGTCGCTTCCTTCTTTGGTCCCCAAAACTCAAGGGCCAGTTCTGAGTCTAGACTCTCGGAGTTCCCGGTCCCCATTCTCTTACCACAATAGAGGTGAGGTCCTCACTCTCAAAGCGGCTGATGGCTTGGTCTAAGGATTTATACATTGCAGCAGAGATGCGCTGGGTAATGAGCCTGTTTAGGTCGATTGACCTACCAAGCAGCTGTGGAGAAAGAGAGACGTTATTTAACATTCACGCAGGCAGTGGAGAAAATGCTAACGGCAGGCTTGGGGCAGGGATTCTGGGCACTGACTCAGGTGCCTTTTTTCAATTTGGATCCTAAATTTAGCCTCTCTATTTCTCCTGTACCTCCTCACCTTCCCTCCCCTACCCCCACATCCCAACAAACCATCTCAGAGTCACTGCAGAGCAGCAAGTACCTTAACTGTGACCTACTTCTTCTACATAGCTACTGCTGTCATATCACAGAGGTGCATTTTAGTGCCAGTGGCATGAAGGAAAGGTTTATTTCAGGAATGCAAAATATAGCAGAAGTGGAAATTTCCCCAGTGCATAGACATGGATATTATCACACATGCGCTATATAATAATGAACACTTCATTGGAAAAGTCTAGTATGCATTGATAGCATTTCATTATATGCCATTACCACCATCATCATTATTACTGTTACTTAAATTTTTTATCCCTCTCTCCCTACAGGGAAAAAAAGGTGCTGACAGTAACCTCTTGTAGCAAATGAGCTGTATTACATTCTCTTAGAGCCATCTTGTGGATCATTATGGCTGTTTCCAGAACTGAATTCAACGTATCAGCTTTTGGGAAAGTGGGATCACATCTAATTGAACACATTCAACAATCATTTATTAAGCACTTCTCAGGTGTCAAGTGTCCAGGCAATAGCACAGTGTTGGGCTAGGAGTTGGGGAAACCTGGGTTCAAGTCTCACCTGTGATACTTATTTGCTGTATGACCCTGGGCAAGTCACTTAACCCCCTTGTACCTTACGCAACTCTTTAAGACTTATATACTAAGTCAAAGAGGGGTTGTGATCTGTGACCTACCTAAGTTGAGAGAGTTTCCATACCAGAAATTCCCTACATTAATGAATTCACAGATGGCTCCAACCTACCTTTCCAGCCTTATTACACATTACTCCACTTCACACAATCTTTGGTATAACCAAACTGCCTTTTTTGTTGTTCCTCACACCTGAAACTCTATCTCCTGTCTCCACATCTTAGCACTAGTTGTCCCCAATGCCTGGAATGCACTCCCTCACTTGCACCTCTAGTTTCCTTCAAGGTCCAGCTCAAGCCTTTCCTCATACCCAAGGCCTTTTTTTTATCCCCTCAACAGCTACTGCACCACCTTCCCCCATTATCATGTACATATTCATTAATTTTTGTATGTACTCTTTATAAACTTAGAGTTATTTAGGTTATCTCATCCAGTAGAATGTAAGCTCCCTGAGGGAAGTTCTGTTTATACCCAGTATCTAGCAGTACATAGTAGGCACTTAATAAATGTTAGCTGATTGATTGACAGGTATATATGAGAGGTGCTGTGTTGGGCACATGGGCCACACAAAGATGAATGCTAAAGAATGCTAAAGCTTTCTTTCAGGGTCTTTTGGACCCTGCAGTCTGTTGAAATGACAGAATGTTCATAGTTACAAAGACTTCTTTTCATATCCTTTTAATTTCTCTGAGGGATCAATATTCATGGGATCAAAGATGTTGAGCTGAAAGAGATCTCAGAGTTCAAGTTCAGCTCCCTCACTTTACACATGAGGAGACTGAAGCTGGGAAAAGCAAAATGACTTGCTTAAAGTTACCTACCAAGCAGAGCCAGGATTCAAACTCAGATCCTCTCACTTCCAACTCAGCACTCTCTGTTACTATGTCATGGTGGTGGTGAGTATACACACACACACACACACACACATATGAATACTATAAGTATATAATATATATAGAAATATATACCCTACTATGAGTAAGGGTATGCTGGAGCCAGCTCTAGCTAGGTTATCTCTGATTGTTCAATTTTTAGTGTGAACATTTAAACTTTAGAAATCAGCAAACACTACACGTCAGGAATTGATTTATTGTTTTGTTGATTGTCTAGACTTAAGAAAGTGTTAATAATACAAATTAAACCCAAAAGTGTGTGTGCATACATTCCCCCCCCCCCAAGAATCTGGCTGTATAACATTTCCTAGCACATCCCTATATTGCTCTATAAGTTTTGCTAGACTGAGCTCAACAGGGGTGCAGTAAAAGGGTCAGGGAATGAAGTCATCACCAGACTGGAGGCATCAGCAGCAGCATCATCATCATGATAAACCTTTATATAGCACTTTAAGGCTTCCAAAGTGCTTTGCATCCATTATCTATTTAAGCCCCACAATACCCCTGATTATTGTATCTACCACCTCCTTTTGATCTTTGGGACCTTTGGAACTCAGCCTTGATTGTGACATTACTTCTCTCCTCTCTGAGAAATCACTGGGCAAGGCAGGACTGTGCACAGACCGTGTAATTAGCCCAGTGAGCTAAGCGCTCCAGGGTCATTTAGCTGACAGCTTGTCACACAGTGGGGTCCCCAAAAGTAGGATATGAAGTCTCCATAGTCTATCTAGGTTCTGACTGCCCTAATCATATTAAAACCTTTCACTGGGGAAGTCTTCATGCTGAGCTCCCAGAACTATTTCCTCGACATTAAGAATCAAATATGAGAATGTGGAATATAAATTTTTACCTTTGGATTATTTGGGTATCCTACACGTCAGAGACTCTCCCCTACCCCCTTCAAAAGTTAAAGATCTGATCAAGGATGGAATCTCCTACTTACAAATGGTAGACATGGGTAAGAAGAGAGGTACTTAAATTTACGTAGGTAATGAATAAAATGTTGATAATTTGACCAATCAACAAACATTAATTAATTACTATGTGCCAGGGACTGCGCAAAGAGCTGGTGATACAAAAACAAAAATGATACAGTTCTTTCTATCAAGGATCTTATCATTTAGCCAGGGGAGATGATATTTACCTATATGGGAAATAGCTACTAGACAGACAGCAATTGATTTTGGGGGGTGGGTGCTAGTAGCTGGGGGGTTAGGAAAGGCTTCATGTAAAAGGTGGCACTTCAGCTGAGCTTTGAGGGAAACTAAAGATTCTAAGAGATAAAGGTAAAGACTGCATTTTGGTGGGGGACACATAGAAAGGGCCACAGTGGATAGCAGCTTAGGGACAGTAGGGAATGCAGGAAAAAATAAACTTATATAAAGCCTACTATGTGCTAGCACTTTTATAAATATTAAGTGCTTTCATAAAAACTATCTCATTTGATCCATTCAACAACCCTGAGAGGTTGTTGTTTTATTGTTTTAGTTATGTCTGACTCTCTGTGACTCCATTTGGGGTTTTCTTGGCAAAGATACTGGAGTGGTTTGCTATTTTCTTCTCCAGCTTGTTTTACAGATGAGGAACCCTGGGAAGTAGGTGCTATTATTTTCTCCTTTTCACAGTTGAGGACACTGAGGCAAACAGAGGTTAAAGTGACTTGCCCAGGGTCACACAGCTAGTAAATGTCTGAGGCTGGATTTGAATTTAGGTTTTACTGATTTCCTGACCAGTCTTCTAACCACTGGGCCACCCACTGCCTCTAGTGAGAGGAGAGATCTATAGCAGCCAATAGCTACACAAGGTGGACCCAGGGGAGGAAGAGTAATCACTCAGGCTAGTTTTAATATATAGTGAGAAATACAACTTCTTATCATATATGAAATACTATAGATGTTTTACATCCTTCAGTGCTCTAAGGCTGGGAGAAGTGGGGGCTGATTTGGTTTCTTGACCCACCTTTGACAGATCACATGATTGCTTTGGCCCATCCACCCATCTCTGAAGGGGTTTTGGGGGTTCCTTGGTTATTGGTTCTGTCCCATCTTACCTGAACATGTCTCTGTTTCAGTAGCGTTTCATAGCGGTTAGATGGTGGATATGGAATAATGACTCCATAATTCTTGCATTCTGCTCTAAAACGTTTATCCAATAGTACACTGGATAGGGAAAAAAAATAAATAAGACCAATGAACATAACCATCCTCAGATTCGTCAGTTATATTTGTTCAGAAGATCTATGTTATCAAAGAGTTTTCCTGAATGCTTTTCAGTGTTCATTTCTACCCTAGGTGACAGAAAGTGGGGTGAGGAGTCAAAGTGTCTGTTTCCTGGTCACGTCCTTTCCTCTCTTTTCATCATATATAGATAAACAAGTTTATATAAGAGATGTACTATATTCTTGAATGGGAATTTTGCAAGAAAATAAAATTTGGGTAAATGTAAGCATATGTCAAACCTGTCAGAGCAGTTCACCATCTAAAGCAGTGGTTCTCTAAGGGCGTATACAGCTGTGGCAGGAAATTTTGGATGTTCTACTATTGCACATAAGGGGAAATTTATAAATAATTTCATTTAACACAAATTTCACTAACTCAATTTTTATAGTATAATATTTTCAAAATAAACAAACTTGCCTATTTTACATAGTAACCTCAATACGCATCAGACTCTACAAAAATAGCTACTGTGCATGTCTGAGTGTCCTAATTCTGCTGTGATGCTGCCAACTCAAATGTCCTTAGGCAAAGACTCCTCACAGTAAAGGCTCCTGTGACATAAGCAAAAATATCATGACCTGAAGTAATATCACAGGGAATCCTCTTAAAATAAGAAAAATCATTTTATAATGTAAATAATCACTTCCTAATTCATTTGGTTTACAAATTCAGATTTTCTCAGATTAGGTTTTCTTAAAGTGGGCCATAGCTATGCTTAAGGCCCTTTCTGATAATCATACTGAGTCTGATAAGGAGTGACAGACTGGAGTATGAGTCAGATATTCTCATAATAGCATCGGAACTAATTAGAATGACCTTCTGAATTTGGATTGAGGTTCTAATGGTGAGATCATGGACAGCACATCTCTTTTTTTAGAGAAGCAGGAGACTAAACCCTTGGCCATGGGGACTATCGATTTTTACCTCCGGATTATCTGGGTATCTTTCACCTCAGAGACTCCTCTTAACCCTCTAAACTTAAAGGTCTGATTATGGATTAAATTTCCCATTTACAAATGATCAATATGGGTAACAAGAAAGTTATTTTGAACTTATGCAGGTGATGAATAAAATGTTGATAGTTTGATCAGTCAATAAGTATTAATTACCATGTGCCAGGTACTGTGCAAAGAGCTGGAGAAGGAAAAACAAAAAATGATACAGTGCTTTCCATCAAGGATCTTATAGTTGAGCTAAGGGAGACTGGAGTGGAGTTTTTAGAGGTGATATCACTCACCACTCCATCCAGGGGATTCTCATACCTGCCAGCCATCGCTTTGTAGTAGGCAAAGATCTGATCCGCTAATTTATACACAAACTGATCGAAACATAGATTGACCTGATGAAGAGAAAGCAGAAGGTGTTATTGGCATCTCTTTATCACTATTTCTTGAATTTACAAAATGGAAGAGAAACAACTTATGTGCTCTTCAATGCTAACTTGGCCCACAGTAAGAGCTGGGGTGGCTGAAGGAAACAAAGTTCTAGACTGAGCGAGGAGGCCTGGAGTCATATTTCACCTCTGATACATACTAGGTGTGTGATCCTAGACAAGTCACTTCAATCTCTGAGCCTCAGTTTCCTCATCTGTAAAATGGGAATGGTAATATTTGCACTATTTGCCTTATAGGGTTGTTGTGAAGAAAGCATTTTCCAACTATTAAAATGCTATGGAAACACGATGAATTAACATTATTATTATTTTACAGGTGAAAGCCCAGGCCCTTCTTCTCTATGGACCTCCAGCTTGTCCTCAGAAAATGACAAAGTTGTTTAGTCACCAAACCATTGAACTCTTCACAGAAGCAAGAGCACAAATGCTAATATGTTATCAATCAATCAACAAAACACATATTAAGTGCCTGTTATGTGCCATGGACTCAGAATGCAAAGACAAAAATGAACAATTCTCTGCCCTCAAGAAGCTTGCATCAGTGGTAGAAACAAAAGGATCAGGGGTGGAATGGGGAGGGGCAATATCTCTCATAGATTTATCTTCATATCCTGTAATGAATGGCATGGGACTCTGTCTCAATCCTAACCTCTTTCATTTATTGCTGCACTGGTGTGTTTTCATTTCCCATCTCACTTGGGATATGCTTTCCAATCTCTAGCACAGAACTGTTGGGGTGACTATTTTTACCCCTCTGGCTTCTGAACTTTTTTCCCCCATCATATCTGTTGTTTTAACCAGCTTTCCACATTCTTTCAAACAATCATAGGATCTCAGAATTAAAAAGAACCTTAGATCTCATCATGTCTAAATTGAACCTAAAAAACAATTCCCTCTACGACACTTCTGACAAGTGATCTTCCACTTGAAAACCTCTGGTGATGGGGACTGTGCTATCTTATGAGGCATTCCACTTCACATTAGGGCAGATCTGATCATTAGGAAGTTTTTCCTTCCATCTAGACAAAATGGATCTCTCTGCAACTTCCCTTTGCTCTCTGGGGCAAAGTAAAACATGTCTAAATGTTTTTGTTTTTGTCTTTCATGATAGCCCTTCAAATACTTGCAGAAAATCATCATGTCCTACCTACATCTTCTTTTCTCCAGGTTAAATATTCCCAGTGCCTTCAACCAATCCTCATATGGTATGGTAAGCCTCTATGACACATTGTTTAGGTATTGATGGCTTAGAATAAGTGTAAATAGCAACTGTTTTCTATTCTGGCCAGAAACTCTGAGGGTCTTTCCTACCCAGATAGATTTCTTTGGGTTTGTAAATTGGGCCATTTTTTGTCTCAATTCTTACCTAGCCCTTAGTCATTGAATGGGTCAGGCCTCAGACAAACTGAGACCTGGGAAAGATCTTAATTTAAAAAGGTCAAGGTCACCCATTGCATCCTAGGCCATTGCTAGTTGTCCTGATCTTTGCCTTGCCACTGGACTTCATGACTCTGGGGGAGAGAGCTAGGCTCACTTTGTGCAGCTCTGTCTAATTCAGATCCAACTGAACTAAGTCAAGACATCATGTTCATGAGAACGAAGGATAAACAACAACAACATATGGAATGATCTATAGTCTCTTCACCAGCCTTAATGCCTCACTCTGAACATGCTCCAGCTTGTCTATATCTTTCCTGGAACGTGGTGTCCAGTACAGAACACAAAGTTAAAACATTCTATCTCCTAACACACATAGAAAACCTTTATTACACTGCCATGTTCCAGCATGAATAAAGGTTCACATCAGACACAGAAGGTCAACCATTTAACAAAGGCAGGAGCCATAAATGGCCCCAGGCTGGGGACATAAAAGAGATGTGGATGAGGATAGCTCTGGGTGCGAGAACAATTATAAAGGAAACGGGTTATATTTAACTGTTCTATCCTGCATTCTTTTGTCACCAAATCCTCAGTTCTGGAAGACCCAATTCTTTGTTGAAACTTCTTTACTTCTGACAGAACTTTTGTATCACTACAATTACCTATAAAACAGAATAAGCAGTAGGGACATCCACCTCCCCATTTCACTTAGGTGTTTTTTGTTCAACTGGTTTGGTTTTGCTTCCTTTGGTGGTAGTTTGCTGAAGAATAAAGTATCTAAAATCAGAAAAGGGTGTCCAAGCATTAATGAATCATCTGCTATTGACAAAGACCTATGCTAGGTACTGGAGAAACAGAGATGAAATAAGACACAGTTCTTGCCCTCAGGAAGCTTACAATGACCAAGATTCAGTAAATTCAGTTTGAGTTTGATGCCATGTTCCTCAAAGCCTCATCATGCCCAGGATCTGTGGCACCCAACTTGGGTTGGCGTCCATAACGATTTTGGTGTGCATGCCACCCCAGGGCACAGGGCAGAGTTTGGGAAGAGGCTGGCATTCTTGTTCATTTTCCCCCTGAAACATACAAGCTTTTGCTTCACAACACACTGCGGGAGTAGCCCCCACTGCTTCCTCAATCATGACCCCTTCATTGATTGATATTGCAAAGTGTTTTTCTAATCCATTGTCTCATTCGATCCCCCGGACAGCTTTTCAGGTGTGGTAGGGCAGGATAGGGATGATCACTTATTCTTTATAGGTAGTAAAACAGAGACACAGGAAGTGCCTCAAACTAAAGGTAGGTTGGTTTGTTTGGGGTGGTGGCAGCTATTTTGTGTGATAGCTGTTTTTGTTGCAATTGTTTGGACAGGTGATTTCACCCATGTACTGAACTCCCAGTATGGAAACTTCTTATCAGCAACTCATATGTAAATGAGTCTTAGGTAGTTACCTGGGGCATTGAAAGGTTAAGTGCTTTGGTTACCCATGGTCTCATAGCCAGTATGTATCAGAGGTAGAACCTGAATCTCATAAGTGGCTCCCTCTCTGCTCCATCATATTGCCTCCCTGACCCAAGATGACCTAGACATAAATGTCACTTTGTTAAATCAATCCTTCCCAAACAGTTGTTGGAAATGCTTTATTAATTTAATTTTTTTTATTATTAAAAACTTGACAGACATGAGCAAACATGAATATTCCCTTATACAAAGAACCAAAAAAGAGGATTGTGTTGGATATTATGAATCTCTATTATATATAGCTTGAAATTTTTAAAAAGAGGATATTAAATTTAGCTCAGTGGTTCCAACATTGCCTTGCTTATCTCTGTCTTCTTCTGAGGTTCCTTCTATTCTCCTTTACATATTTTTTTTTGTTTGTTTTTCAGTGAGGCAATCAGGGTTAAGAGACTTGCCCAGGGTCACACAGCTAGTCCTTTACATATTTTCTAAGATGTTTCATGCTGGCACATCTTTAAAGGTGGCTGTCTCTGTATTCAAGACTAGAGATCTCTTTGTCAGTTATAAAGCAGGGGAGAGGCAGAAATGTGAGGTGATGCTTGGCCCTTACCTCGGCTTCAATCTCATCATACAGGAACTGCTTTTTGAACTTCGTCAAGGCATAATATGCACTGTCATTGTAGAGATCCAAAGGATACAGCACATACCTTAGAGGACAAACAAAGGCTATTAATTGTTAGCTCTGAAAATGATCTTCATCACAATGCAGGATTTTTGGACTCCCATGGGGAACAAAAAGAATGAGCAGAATTTGGGAATTTATTAAGGCTTGATGTACCATATATACTTGGACCCAAGATTTGTTGTTGTTCAGTTGTTTTCAGTTGTGTGTGACTCTTTGTGACCCCATTTGGGGTTTTCTTGGCAGAGATACTGGAATGGTTCACCATTTCCTTTTCCAGCTCATTTTATAGATGAGGAAACCGAGGCAAACCAGGTTAAGTGACTTACTCAGGGTCACATACCTAGGAAATGTCTGAGGCCACATTTGAATTCAAGGTAGCTGTTTAGAATTAGGAAAGAACAGTGCTCACTCTTTTATTTCTGTGTAGTATCCCTGAGAGTCAGTGTGATATAATGGATAGAGAGAACTAACCTTGTAGAGAAGAAGGCCTGGGTTTGAGTTTCACTTCTAATACACATACTAGCTACTTGAACATAGCCAGGTAACTAAACCTCTTAGTGCTCCAGACATCTGTCTAAGATTAAAAATGCCCATAGTCTTGAATGAATTATTATTTTTTATCCCACTGAGGCAGGTAAGTACTTAAGATTTATGAATACAGAAACCAAAAGGTTAGGTCAGCTAGGACAATAAGTTTAAGGCCCTAATTAAATTAGTCTGCAAAAAAATCAGGCAGCAGATAGGAATGTTGACAAACATATAGCCCCATATGTTCCCTAGAGATCATTTCTTCTCAAGACTGCAATGCTTACTGTCATCAGACCTGACCATTATGAGTGTGGGTAAGAGTGTAAATGAGACAGCTAGGTGATACAGTAGATGGAGTGCCGGACCTGGAGTCAGAAATACCTGAGTTCAAATCTGGCCTCAGATACTTACTAGCTGTGTGACCCTGGGCAAGTCACTTAACCCTGTTTGCCTCAGTTTTCTCATCTGCAAAAAAAAATGAGCTGGAGAAGAAAATGGCAAACCACTCCAGTATCTTTGCTAAGAAAACCCTAAATGGGATAACAAAGAGTTGGACACAACTAAAATGACTGAACAACAAGAAGAGTGTAAACAGGTAGACCTTTTCAATCTATTTACCAAGCTGATTCAAATGACTAATGTTTGGGCTAATGCCTAGTCTGAGTTTCTTTTGGGCAGGCACGCGGCTTCTTCTCCAGTTTCCCCAGTGGGTTTATGGCAAGCACTTGGCCCTGGGAGGACCAGACCCCTTAGCAGCCATCTCCCTTGCAAGCCTCCCCATGAACCCCAGCTCTGCCTCTTCTTACTCCATCATGGAAGGTTCTTTGGTTTCCAGGATATGGTCTGTTAAAATCCAGGGCATGGACATCTCGATAGGAAACTGGATTCGGCGGCCCATTGTTAATTCCAGGAAGAATTCTCGGAACCAAAGCTGGGAGAGGTCACAGCACTGCTGCAGGGCTTCTAAAGGCACAAGTATGAGAAGGGACAATTAGTCATCACATAGAGGGACAATGTCAAGATGTCTGTATCAGGGGGAACCACAGTCCAGTGTGTTCCTTTGGGATTTGGTGCAGGTGGCCTAAAAGGAGATCACAGACTGATCTCACAGGGCTACTGCCAGGCTCAAATGAATTCATGCAAATCATGAACGTCTATAATAGTGTCAGTTAATCATCATCACCACCACTGATATTGTTTTTGGGTTAATGCCTTTGCAGACCATGGTAGCCATCAGTTTGCTGAAGATGTAAAGGACAAAAATGTTGGTGAAAATATTGGATAATAAATATTACGTGGTAGAGTAATCTTATCCAACTCTATTTCTTGTTACCCTAAAATAAAATCTCTGTTCACACCAGAAGGATCTCTTTAGTGCCTCTCTTGCCTCAAATTCATGTTGACCCCTTGATGTCTCTCTCTCACCCGAAAAGTTTCTTCTCTAATTTCTAACATAAATTCTATTCTTAGGGAAGCTAGGTGGCACAGTGGATAGAGTGATGGGCCTCGAGTCAAAAGGACCTGAGTTCAAATCTGGCCTCAGATACTTCCTAGCTGTGTGACTCTGGGCAAGTCACTTAACTCTGATTGCCTCCAAAAAAATTCTATTCTTGTTTCAAGTCGTTGCTCAAGTCCCAACACTTATGATATGTAAAATGTACCTTGGTGTTTATTATATTTGTGAAAAGGTAAGCTCCTTATAGGTAGGGATTATTTCATTCTTTGTATTTGTTTCCTTCATACTTAGTACAGCACCTTGAATGTAATAGGTACTTAATAAATGCTTGACTAGCTGATTGCTTTGTCCTGTGTATTCATCTAGTGCTTCCAGTAGACTTCAGATCAGATATTATAGTTATTTTGTATTCCCCATAGTGCCTAGCATAGTACTGGGTACATAGAAGGAGCTTAAGAAATACCATCAGACTGATTGATCAGCCTGTCTATAGAATCACAATCTACACTAGCTTGCTTTTGGAAAATAAAATTTTGTGCTAACTTCAGAGGGCAATGAAGGCCATGACTGAGTCTTAGAGCAATCCTGATTGTATGAATCATTTAGGATTTCTTTAAAGTTGCACATGGCATCATGTTGAACATAACCCTGGGGTCCCACTCTTCCTTCATCTCATCCTGTCCACCCAAGACAAAACCCAACCTACAGAGAGGAAATGGAAGATGAGAAAACTGGTAGAAATACCTTGGGATCCTGCCTTGCTGTAAGCTAAGTATTACTAATTAATGGATCTTAAGTAGCTAACTTGACAGATGTGGTAATAATAAGAAGAAAGTTATGTTAGTCTTATTCCCTGAGGACATGGAGGCTTATGTCCATTCCTTCCTCGAGGATTATGAGCCAAGCCAGCCACAAACATCTGCTGAAAGCAATTCTGCTAAATCAGGAAGAAAAGAAGCCAGACAGATCCCAGTTTCCCTAACCTCCCAAATCACACCATAAATATGCTCCATGGGGAACTGAGTAATTACAGGAACAAAAGAAGTTCAATCAGACTAGAATAGTCTTACCCTCGCCCCACCCTCTTCTAATTTGGAATTTGGAATCAAGGCTCACCACTGATGTTGAGCAGATGAGTAAAGAAGAAGGATTGCTTGTGGAATTCCTCAATGGCAAGAACAATTGGTCCATCAAGGCTACTCCTCAAGGTCTTCTTGGAGCCACTTTTGTCTGCGATGAGGGACTCCAGCATGGTCCTCACCATGTATAGCTTGAAAGGACAAAAAGACACTATAGAGTTAGGGGATGGGCACTTTTATCCTAATAATACCCAAAGTAGTAATACTGCTAGTAATACCCAATTACTACACATGATAAGATGGCATCTGAATCATCAGCAAAAGATCTGATCACATTCAGTCTACTTTTAGTGTCGTGTTTTCTACTCAATTTTAATTCTTTGAGACAAATAGTCATCTATATGTGGTGTGGAAGTATATTCAAAACATCCTTTTTAATTCAACTGAAAATATGAAGAAATAGTATTCCTCCAGCCTAAAACCCTTTCTAGAATTTTCCCTTTAGGAAAATATGGAACAAAAACATGGAGGCTTCAGAAAGATGGAGTAAGGATGGTAAACAAATTTAGAACAAAAAAAAAATACACTTTTTTTTTTCTATTTAAGATAATTGTTTCATTCTGAAGGGATGAGGGTATTAATCCCAGGGAGGTCCTCTTTAACCACTCTAGGAGAACATTTGAGGATAGTGATCCAAGAAGGAACTAAGTAGTTACTGAGGGACTATTCTATTTGATACAGTACAGCATTAACCCGAAACTGTATTTTAACATACTGTGACCTTTTCCTCATTCGAGATTCCTATAAATGTGGCTTCAAATTATCTTGGGGTATAGAGAGATGTCTAAGGGCACAGGAAGACAATGTCAGTTTGGACATTTCTCTCTAAGCTAGAAATGCTTGAATTTAGAATAATGTAAATAAAAATAGTTCCTGGCAGAATTCTGCCTGATGCATATAGTACAATATTTGTATTAATTTTTTTCTCCAACAATTTATATGGAGGTAGTAATACTTGCCCTAGAGCCAGCTTGGTGGCTCAGTGGATACAGCGCTGGGCCTGGAGTCAGGAAGACCTGAGTTCAAATGCAGCCTCAGATACTTACTAGTTATGTGAACCTGGACAAGTCACTTAACTTCTACTTGCCTTAATCCACTGGAGAAGAAAATGGCAAACCACTCCAGTAACTGTGCCAAGAAACCCCATAGATACTGATGGTCCACAGGGTCACAAAGAGTCAGACACGAATGAACAACAACAGCACAATCTTTCCCCCATTGTAGGGGGCTGACTGTAACCACCTATCGATTGCATGCTTTAAAATCTAGCCAATGCACTCTCTTTCTTTTTTCTGTGAGGTTTCGGAAACTGAGCCAAGGAATATACTGACAAGGAACATTTACTTGCTGAAGGCTGTTTTATTGATGCACACAGGAACTAATATGCCATATCCTCCTGACGCCACCCAAGAGATCCAGCACTCCCTAAGTCTAAGTACATCCCTAAGATGCCCAGCAGCATGGATTTACTGGAACTCATTAGCAATAGTGAGGTTGCCTAAACAAACTTTCAAGACTCAAGCCTCTATGCTGTGATGGTCCCAAAGAAATTTGCTGCTGTAAGCCTTGGATCCATCAGAGCACAAGGAGATAGCCCAATAAAAATAATTATTACAAGACTGTTGAAATTGTTACTGCCTGTGGAGGCAATGCCAGGGATACAATAAATAGGACAAGACAGAGTCACTCAAATGTCTCATCTCAACAGCAGCCTGTCCCATAGTGCTGGCTCTCCCAGGACTCCCCTAAACACCTCTGCTTGCTGGAATCTATGCTTAACAGCCCTCTCCCTAACCATGCCACATAATGAGAATAACCCTATAATAAAGGGTTTTTGAGTCATGATCCTCTTTGGCAGTCTGGTGAAGCCTATGCACCACTTCTCGGAATATTTTTTTAATTCGCAAATGAAGGAAATACTAGATTTCTGTTAGGGGTTAGTGAAAATAGAGGCAGTTTTTCATCGACCCTTTGAAATCTACCCATGAATCCCTTGAGGATCTGCGGACCCCAGGTTAAGAACCCTTGCTATAATATAAATGACTACAAAGTAGCAACGTGCAAATGCTTACCTAAGAAATGCTCTGTGATTTATGGATGTTGTTGTTGAGAAGAGATGGAAGCCAGCATGGGGTTGAGTAGCATTGAAGACAAATGCTCGTAGACCTCTCCTATTCCCCACTACTCACAACTTTTTCTTAATAATAATAATAGCTAATATTTATGTAGTGCTTACTATGTCCCAAGTATTATACTAAGTGATTCCCAAATATTATCTCATTTAATCCTCACAACAACCCTGGAAAGTAGGTGCTATTATTATCCTCATTTTGCAGATGAGGAAACTGAGGCAAACAAAGGTTAAGTGACTTGCCTAAGTCACTTCTCTTTTATTTCCCCTCTTCATCTATCTCTTGATATCTCCCTCATTTTTCTCTAGCATCTTTTCTTACTCTATTTTTCTTCTCCTTTTATCTTTCCCTCCTACTTGTCTCTCAGGGCTGCCAGTAGTATAGAGGCACTCAGCTTAATGCCCTAAGGCATTCAGCACTGAGACAGTCTTTGAGCCCTGATATAAAACATAAGTACTTGGAGGTGGCCATGGTATAGAGGATTGATCACTGGGCTTGGGGTCAGGAGACCAGGGTTTGAGCCTTGCTTCTGCCATTAACTAGCTATGTGTCTTGGGCAAGTCATATCATCTCTCAGAAACTCTATAAAATGATGTCAGATGTGTCAGATGCTCTCTGGGGCTCCTTCTAGTTCTAAAATCCCATTATACTAAGTAAAATACTTCCCTTTTACCTAGGGGGACACCAGGAAGAAAAAAATGTCTCAATGAATTCTTTTTCCTGTGACCCTTTTGGAAAACAGTCTTTCTCAGATTCCCAAGAGTTCTTTGGGATCGTACCCCCACCCCATCTGCCCCTCAGGCTATGGGAAATTATACCCATTTGTTTATGAGAGTGGGTTCTCACAAAGATCCTATTTCTTTTTGTTCCCCTGTTATTTACCTGACTATCCTATTCCAATTAAAAATTTTGTTATCAGGAAAGAGGGTGAAGAGGAGAGGTTCTTTCAAGCAATAAATTGTGTTGCACAGAAAGCAGACAAATAGGTGTCAATTAGTCTGAGAGACATGAAGACAAGGGGAATTACATGGAAGTAATGATACTCAAGTTTTGAGAAGAGATAGGGAGACTAGCTATTTGATTTGTGAAATTGGCCAACTTCTTTCTTCTCTCTGGGCCTCAGTTTCCCCATCTGTATAACGAGGATGGATTGGATAACCTCTAAGGTCCCTTTCAGAGAATCTATGATTCTATGACGCTGAGATAATTCTACAAAGTTCAAAGGAGTTCTTTAGACTGACCAAAGCTACCGTTACAATTGATACTACTACATCTGAATAGAGAGAAATGATAACAAGCGTAGATAGAATAATACACCTTACACCTATATGGTATTTTGTACTTTTTATACTTTTCAAAGAGTTTTCATGTATATTACCTCACTTGTACCATACAAAAACCCTGTAAGGCAGGTGAGAAATCATCATAGTATCACTTCTCTGTCACAGATAAGGAGAAAGAGGCATGGAAATTTTAGGTGACTTGCCCAAAATCACACAACCAATTTGTGTCATATCTGAAACTAGAACTCTGGTCTCCTAAAGCACAATCCAGTGCTCTTTCCACTACAGCAGTACAAGGTGGTAAGACAAGACCCAAACTATGATGGGCTGTGCCTGGTGCCCCTTACCTGAGTGCTAGAGGGCCCAACAGCTCGCCGTGGAACCTTGATGTCAAAGCCACCCTTCGGGTCCTTTTCCCCTCTCAGGCAAGGGTCATTGGGTGGTTCTCGACCTCCCTCCCAGTCGCAGATTGTTTTCCGAATAGCCTGTAGGACACTGGAGCAGGAAGAGATATGAAATCAGACCCAGTTTTCCAAGAGAGGAAATTAATCTAAACTCATGTGGAGGGAAACAACTCGAGTGGGAGATCATAGGGTCACAGAAATAAAACTAGAAGGAGCTTTAGAAGGCACCTAGTCCAGGCCCCTCATTTTACAGATGAGGAAACTGAGGTCCAAGGTGACAAAGGTAGACAGTATCAGGGGCAGGATTTGCACCCAAGTCCTCTGATTCCAGAATTCTTTCCTCTATCACAGAGATTGGACCAGTTAAGGTGCCTACAGCTTGGGTATTTTTTTTTTTCATTTTGGACAGAAGGGAAATCTCTCTTTTCAGGCCTTTCTGGCTCAGCTCCTTCCTCCATTACCTGGACTGTGCTAAAGAGGATGGCCCAGCTTCCATAGAAGGAACCACACCTGATTTGTCCAAGCATTGCAGCACAAGGGAATTTGGTAAGGAATCAAGATGGTGTGCTAATGAAGGGTATTCTGCCCAGAATTTCCCCTCTGGGTCACAGTAAGCCTTTGACCACTAGGAATCTCATGGGAAAGGGAGAGCCCAGGTCTCTGTTTTAGCATTGATGTCATCACTAACCTGATGAGGACATTCTTCTTCTTCCTCACAGCCTGCCTCAGGGGCTCTCTCAGGGTCACCTGGGCAAAGTCCTGCAGGGCAGCATAGATAGTGTTCCTGATGGCCTGGTTAAAGACACTCTCCATTCTGCCCATGAGCACCTGTAGACCTTTGATCATAGCAATCACCTGCGCCAAGAACAAATTTAAGAATCAATCACACCTAGCCTTCCTAGAGCACATTCATTTGCCTTTGATTAGAATCATCAGGTAAAGTGAGAAGGGACATTGAATCAAGTTCAATCCTCTCATTTTACAGATGAAAAACTGAGGTATTGGGAAGTTGAGTGACTTGTCCAAGGTCATACAAGTAGTAAAATGGCACAGCTGGTATTCCAACCCAGATCCTTTGACTCTAAGACCAAAGTGTCATATGGCATTTTTTTTTCTGGTCAGTCCCATAATTTCATTTGTGTAGTGAAATCCTAGTGAGGAAACTCTCTCTACCAGTGTAAAATCAGAAACCGTTTTGCAACTTAAGAGTTTTGGAGACTTGCCTAGAACCCTAAGAGGTAATGTGACGTGCCCACAGTCACACAGTTACTATATGTCAGACACAGGACTTGAACCCAGGTCTTCTGGGCTCAGAAGCTGGTCCTCTATCTATTCCACTACAATGCCTCTCCGGGGCACTCTGAAGTGACAAAACAGTGAACATCCTACTTTCCTGATTCTGAACAGCAAGCCTGGGCCAAAGCATAGCACAGCAGACCTGGATCGAGCCCTAAATTGCGCTCATTCTTTGTGTGTCCTAAGGGAGCCCCCAAATCCTTCTGAGTCATGACAGAAAGTCATTTTCAGAGCTAACAGTCTTTGTTTGTTTCCCTCGGGCTGTGCTGTATTCCTTGTGTCTCTACAATGACAGCTGCTGCCCCACATTCATTTTCCAGAGCACTTTCTAACCATTATATCCTTGAGGTCAGTAGGACAAGGATTATTACAATTCTATTTTCACTTATTAATTTTTTTTTGTTTTAAGGAGAACAGAAGGGAGTGAGAGAAAGAAGGTCAAGTGCACAACCAAGGTCACACAATGAGTTAGTAAAGCTGAGCTTTGTCTGCTGGGTGACAAAAATAATTTCCACTTACACAGGGAATTAATGGTAACAAAGCTCCTTCCTAACAATGATCTGTTATGTGTCCCTTCTCTCAATAGAGAGACAGGGGACAACGGAGGAGGAATATGGCAAACGCAATCAGTCGAGGTCTCTGTGTCCATTGGTCTTCCTTAAATATTTTTCTTTGTTACAAGAAGGTGGGTGTGGCAGGGGGAAGAGGTTAAAGGGAAATGGCTGTAAAACAATATGCTGCCCACTTTCTCACTGTAAAGAGGTGAGGAGCTACCAAATCAGAATAGTGTGTACATCGACAGACAAAAAAGGGTTTTGGTCAATTGTTTTTGTCATGTAAGAAGGTTCAATGGGAGAGGGGGCAGGGGAAGGAAATGAATGTGATTTAAAAATAAAAATGATTAATTAAACATTTTTAAAGACATCAGTACAACTGGAAAAAAAAAAGGAAGACCTCTAATCATAGGCTGGTGTTGTTGTTTGTCCTTTGTTCTTAAAGAGGACCAATGACATCAGGAAGGTGATGCCATTACTTGCAAGTGAATTGGATTTAAGTGAGGGAGGGCTGTGCAAAGTCACCAGCCTCATTTTCTCCTCTGGAGCCATCTGGCTCCAGATTAGGATGACTGGAGATGGCCTTTTTAAGCTAGCATCTTTCCTAGGTATCAGTTTCACTGAAGCAGTGCCCATTCAGTGATTAAAGCTAGGTAAGAAATGAGGCAGAGAGGGAGCTAGGTGGCGCAGTGGATAGAGCACCAGCCCTGGAGTCAGGAGGACCTGGGTTCAAATCCAGCCTCAGACACATAACACTTACTAGCTATATGACCCTGGGCAAGTCACTTAACCCCACTGCCTAACGTGCCCCCCCCAAAAAAAGAAATGATGCAGAGAATGACCTCTTTTACCTTGTAAAAAAAATTATAGGCACATAATGAAGGGAAGAGGGGAGGAAGGAGAGAGAAGAGAGTACCATTCCATCTCAACCATCTCAACCCATGCAGTTCATCAAAACTAAGAAAGGGTTCAAAGGGCTGGAAGGATTTCAACTAAGCCTTGAAGGAAAGGCAGACTTTAGTAAAGAGAGGAGGGCATATCAGGAAGCTGGAGAAGCAAAAGTAGGGAGGTGGGAATATACATGGCAGTTTTGGGAAGAGTTAGGAGCTAGCCTGGCTAAAGTGGATGGTGTGTATAGTGGGGATAAGTTGAAACAATTGACCGGCACCTAGTTGTATGACCTTAAGTCACTTCATGCCTCGGTTTCCCCATCTGTGAAAGGGGTTGTACTAGATCAGGGCTTCTTAAACTTTTTCCACTCCCAACCCTTTTGTGTTTTGGCAGCGGTCCTTGGTGTTTCATGGCCTGAGGTCACAGTGAAGTGTGATGCAACATGGGCAAGTGCTGCCAGAAACCCCTTGGATTCATTATGTGTTTGATTTTGATTAATTTTTGGTCGTTGTGCATTCAGAAACCTTTTCCTGTTGCCAAATTTTTCGAAATCCCATAAGCGGTCAAGACCCATGGTTTAAGAAGCACCGTACTAGGTGACTTCTCAAGCCTTTTTTACTTCTAACACTCTGGAAATTCTCTCTCTGTGTCTATCTCTCTTTCTTGGTGCCCTAGTTAATTCTCAAAGACTGTGAGTTACAGACAATTTCTCAGTCTACATTAATTGAGAGAGTCCCTACACAGAGGGACTGTGCCTAGATTGGTGAAATCACAGATGTGGTGCATATATCCCTGAGTCCCTGAGCCTCTCAAAAGTGCACACTCTTCTGCTTTGGTCAGGACCTGTGATTTCATCTGGGTAGAGAACTCCTGATAAGGTGGATCAGAACATCGTCAATTTAGACCTGAAAGGGATGTTAGAAATCACCTAGTTCAAACCCAGCAAGGTGACACAGAGTGCCAGGCCTGATGTCTGGAAGATCTGAGTTCAAATCTGGCCTCAGACACTTACTAGCTGTATGATCTCAAGCAAGTCACTTAACCCTGTTTGTCTCAATTTCCTCATCTGTAAAATGAACTGGAAAAGGAAATGGCAAACCACTCTAATATCTTTGCCGAGAAAACACCAAATGAGGTCATCAAACTTTGTACATGACAGTCGGAGCCCCTCTTTTTTAGATAAAGAATTGGGGCCCAAGAGAAGCTGTGACTTGCCTAAGGGCCCTCCACAGGTAGAGTAAATGGCAGTGCCAGGATTTGAACCCAGGTCCTCAGATTCCAAATCCAGCCTTCTGTCCACTGTATCAGCATGCAGTCCTGCAGATTATAGTTTTAGAGAGGTGCCTGGAGTTCTGAGAACTCAAGTGACTTGTCCAGGGTCACGCTGCCAGTGTTTCTGGGGGAGACTTAAACTCTACTAATCCTTACTCAGGTGTCAGCTCTCTATTCTCCATCTCATGGGGCCTCAATGTAGACCTCAGTGGGGTCTACAAGTGTGTTTCCCTGCAGAAAGCATTGTGGTCCAGTGGACACATCACTGGCTTTAGCGTCAAATGCCTTGGGTTTGAATCCCAGCTTAACTATTTATTGCCTACAGGACCTCGGACAAGACACTAAAGTCTTTGGGCCTCGGTTTCCTCATTTGCAAAATGATGGGCAATCTTGAAGGATCCTTCCAGCTCTAAAGTCCGTGACACCAAGAGCCCATACCTGTGGTAAGCAAGATCTTGAATTAAATGATGATCCCTTGGTTAGAATGGGCTGCATTAAATTTCTAAATCTCCAAACATGAGGCCAGAGGCTGCCACACCCCAGACGAACCAGTTCAGCTACAGCTAAGCCTATTCAGCTAAGTACAGTCAGTATTCATAAAGACTTGTTGGTGATTGATTAATTCTGATGGAATGAGAAGAGAGGGTGATTCTACAACCATCTCCTCCAACTCTCTGCCCCCCCACCCCCAGGGGCTCCTACAGCTGCCTCGATGGATGCAAAGGAAGGCAGCATTTAGGAGCCACCTGGCTCTCCTGTGGACCCCAGCATCACCTCCAGCTCTAAGACTGGATAATGTCATCACTTTGTTGTTCTCAATCCTTTGTGCCTCAAGGTAGTGAGTTTCAGATCCTTGCCTAGGAACAACTTTTGTTCCCAGGAAGGACCATAAAAGGACAATAGGGACACTAGGAGTGGGGAGAGGAAGGAGAAAGGTGTACCTTGAGGGCAAAAGATAGGAAAAGAAGGTTAATAAGTAATCTTTGGAGATTACCACCATGTGCAAATGAGAGATAAAACCCAAAAGGTAGGTTGAGGCCATCCAGTGAAGGCCATAGGGTGCCGCTAACAGAAACTATATTTAGGGCCTTAGCCTAAATGCACCATTCTACACCTTCCTGTCAACCACGATCAGCGGGGAGTAGAGAAGTGAGATGCTCACCTCCACAAAGGCAAACTTCTCCTCACTAGTGTAGTTGTAGCGGGTGGCTCTCTCATACTCTTCCGCTGTGCCGGGGCAGTCCTTGTTGCAGAACTTGTCCGTAGGATGGACCAGCTTCCAGGAGTACTGGGGAGGGGAAGACCAAAGATGAACACTGGGCTGTTTATAAAGGCTGGATGGGAGGGAGACGCTGTGCACCTGGGATTGGAGTCGAGGTCACTTACCACCTCCATGACATGGGCACTCCACTTGGAGAGCAGCTGAAGCCCCCGTAAAGCCAGATCAAAGAGCTCCCTGTACTCTTCATCTGACTTCTGGCTGTCTAATCCAGAACCAGTCACCACCTGGAGAACATCACCCAACAAGGTGGTCAGACCAATCTGCACATTCATTCCTCCCATCCCAGCCCTGGGCTCTGCTCTTGCTTCTAGCTCAGGTCTCTTTCCTAAGGAAACAAGCCTTTTCATTCATTTCTACTTGCCTCAAGGATAAACAGGGAAAGCATCTGGACCGATGGTGTAGGGAACACTCAGGTGAGGAAACTTCCTCTACCAATGCATCTTCTCTGCAATCTATAATCTGAGAGAGTTGCCTAAAGCAATGAGAAGTGAATGCCTTGCCAGGATCACACAGCTAGTGTGTGTCAAAGGCAGGACTTGAACCCAGATCTTCTTGGTCAATTCTCTATCCACTAGGCTATCCTGATTCTTAGCTTGCACGGCGCTACTGTTGAATGTCACTAACCCATTATAGAATCATAGAAAGATAGAATAATAGACCCAGAATTCTAAGGAACCTTATGGGACATCTAGCCCAGCCATACCCTCCTCCATACAATCTTTTACTTTCTTACATTATCTTTTCATTCCTTCACTTAGACTGCCCTTCCCCCTTCTCTAGCCTATCAAAATCTTATCCATCCTTTAAGGGCCAATTCAACCCCCACACCTCTGTCAAACCTTCTATAACCACTCAGCCCAAAGTGATCTTTTCATCCCCTGACCTTCAACACGACTTATATGTTCCCTTGCCTTGGTTTTTTTTTTAACGTGCTTTATCTCCTCAGACAAAATTATATATAAGTTTTTTTGGGGCAGAAACTATGTGTTTCATTTTTTATCTGCCTCACCTCCTCAAAGTGCCTGTGAAATCATCATACACATAGTAGGAGCTCAATCACTACTTGACTAATTGCTGAATGAAAACTGGACAAAGTCAAAACATGGCATCATAGTGCCAAGATGGTCTGAATACTCTCAATGACAGCTGAAGATTCTAATCAATTATTTCTGTGGTCTTGTCTGTGGCTGGTTAGAGCATGGGGCAATATGACCATTATTGTAGGTTTGACCCCTGTGTGGTCTTATTTGCTCTGTTCTGCTTCATGGCCATGATGAAGTACGATGGCTGAGTGTTTGGGTGCTAGACTTAGGATCAGTAAGCCCTGAGTTTAAATTCTGTCTCAGTCGCTATGATCCTGGGCAAGTCCATTAACCTAACTGTGCCTCAGTTTCCTTACCTGTAAAACGAGGTGGATGGACTCAGTGACCTCTAGGGTCCCTTCGAGCTCTAAATCTGTAATTCTCTAACCCATAACCTATATGCTCCATGCCCAAGGGAGCCACCTTGAAAAATGCAAGCCACATGTCTCACACTTCTTTGCAGAGGGCAAGGGTATAGGATATTGCACATGCTTTCAGACTTCAGTAATATGTGGGTTAGTTTTGCTTGTTGACGCTTTTTTCTTTTTTCTTTTTTTTCTGTTATAAGAGATGGTCCAGTTGAGTGGTAGAATATTCAGAAGTAAAGATGATACGAAAACAAAAGCTACCAATAATTTTTTAAAATGCCAGTCACTGGCCATAATATGATGAGAAGATATAAATGGTAACTGATCACTACTGAAGGAAAAACAACTCCAAACCTGTGACCTATTGACAGCATATGTTTTTTAGTCCCAGCATATATGGCCCAAAATTGATTCTAAAAGTCCTGCTGAAACTCTTATTTTGACAAAGTATTAAAAACTCGGGGGGAAAGCTAGTGGCATCTTCTTCTCTCATGTAAAGAATAGGAGAGAATTCAAGATTTTGCTGGAATCAGCTTGAATTGGCCCCCGAGAGCTGATTGTTAAATTTTCATTGTAAGCATTTACACCTCAGAAATCTGCAGATGCTACAAATCAGGGCTTGACTTATCATTTTGTTAATTGTCTGGACTTAAGAAGGTGATGAAGAAAATGTCAATAATGCAGATTAAATTTAAAAGTGTATCATAGAATGTTTTTTCCTTGGAGAGCTGCTTGTTAATACATTTACCAGCATACCTCTGAGAGTAATCCTCAGGCTATGACCTCCTCCTCGTTCAGTCACGTCTACAAGCTTTCGGAACTTTTTCTCTCTCCTGCACTCTCTCTCTCCTTTCTCTCTCCTGCATTCTCCCATTTTTTCTTTCTCTCTCTGTCTGTTTCTGTCACCTTTTCCATCCTCTGTCTCTCTGCTTCTTTCCCTCTGCCTCCCTCTATTTCTTTCTCCTTTCCTTTTCCCTCTCAGGGGGCAGGGAACCTCGGCTGCCTCTTGGTCCCTTTCTTGCCTTCCCACACCCAATCCCAGTAGCCCTGGGACAGGGCTCACCTCACTGTTGCTATAGCGAGCGAGCTCGGAGATGAAGCGGATGTGGTCATCCCGGATCTGGACCATCTGTTCACAGATGTTGTACTGGGGGCTGATGCTGCTCTGTGTGCATGTCCACCTGGACAGAAAAGCATGGGGTCTGAGTAGGCACCCAGCATCACATTCATGGGTGGGGCAGAGTCCTTCTGTTCAGAAGCCGCTTCTTTTGGATAGTATCCATCAGTCTGTCACTATGGCCCTCTTGGGGCTTTGGAACAAGCAAGGATCCATGAACGCAATACATCTCAGTCAGCATGGCCAGGGGAACCTGCCAAGCCAACTATCAGAAGGACCCCCCGTGGAGAGGGTCAGTCTTTCTGCTTCCTTTTCTCTAGGGCGGGTGGAATCCCTAGGGATCTAGCTTCTATATGTACAGGGCCATCTTCTACTGACCACCACAACCCTTTTTCAGGCAGCCCCTGTCCACTGTGTACTTACCTGATATGTAGGAGGGGTGAGAGCACAGCCAACCCGCTCCTCAGCTACTCTCCAGGGCTGCAAATAACTCAGCTTCTGGTGACTGTAGAAAGGCAGTGCAGGCTGTGCAATGTGCCAGTACCATTGTGCCACCATCCTGGGTCTGCGTCTTTATTTGGGATGGGGGCCTGGGTTGGGGGTAGGTGGCCTACTCCATCCTTCACAAGCCCATCACTTACGTGGAATCAGTGTGGTAGAGAAAAACCACCTGACAAGATGCCACACTTGGCTAGCGCCACTGAACAGATGCTATTTTTTTTCTTCTTTTCACACCAAATGACTCTCCTTTGGTTCCAGAAAACCTCCAGAATTAGAAATGAAACTCCTGTTTTTCATTATGAATACTGGAGAAGGTGAGGAATGATCCTGAATCATAAGCTAAGGCTAGAAAAGAGCTTAGAGATCATCTGGCTTGGCCTCCTTATTTGGCATAATGTGTCAATGTGTGGAGTAGAGGAAAGAACCCTGGATCTGTAGGCAGAGGACCTGGGTTTGAATTTAGGCCCTTCTAGGGTTAGGGCTAGTCGTTTAACCTCTCTGGTCCTCAGTTTTCTTCATCTGTGAAGTGAGGGTATTTAACCAGATGATTTCTAACATCCCTTTAGGCCCTAAATCTGTAATCCTATTACATGGAGGCCCAGAAAGAAGGGCTTTGTTTTTCCAATGTCACAAAGTCAGTTTTTACCAGAGCTTGGATTAGAACTCAGGTCTCCTAATGCTGGCCCATTTCTCCTCACCAATATAAAGGTAACTATAGCACCTGCCTTTACCCTTAATTTCTTATCTCTGAGAACTCATGCACACTTGGGAAAAATGAGTTTGAAGTTCTCAACTTGGTGCCCATCTCAAAAAACCTAGGCACACAGTGTGACAGCACAGTGAGCAGCATTGGCTAAGGAGAGACAAAAGGCATCATCATCTTCATCTTCATCATCCCTAGCATTACCGTCAGCCATTTATATCGTAATGTAAAGTTTGCTTTCCATTGCTTTGCATGTATTATCTCATTACACAGACTCATCTGGCTTTACTTTGGCTGGCACAGGCCAATGTGATCTGACCATTCCTTGTGTGCCCAGCACCTACCACAGCGCTGGCATATAGTAAGCACAACGCATGCTTGTTGAGTGACTGACTGATCTCTATCTCAGGTATAAGGCCTAAGGTAGGTTGAATTCAAAGATGCCGTATCAGCTGACCTGGGATGCTTAAGCTTCTGGATTAAGCACTGCTGATAACTGTGCCACATGGTACAAAACGGGGTGATTTTGTGAGATGGGCTAAGATGAGGCAGTCAGACCCATCCCACATGTGGTAGAGTCCTCACCACATCTATGGCAAGAGGTAACTTACTTATGGTGCCCACATAGTTTCCAAAGCAAGAAAAATTCCAAATGCAATATCTTGCATTCCTCTCTAAGTCCTGAGTGGAGAAGGGCCTCCTTTGCTTCATGGGGCACCCAAAGACGTGGGGAGTGGCACGTCCTAACTTCAGAGAGAGAGAGTGCTGTGGCTATGCTCTGAGCATGTTTGTACCCTGACAACAAAGAGTGGGTAAAAAAGTGTTCAGAACACTCCACTATGCACACCTACACACTCACTCCTTGCCACTCACGGGCCATGTGACCTCGAAGGCCAGGCGCCAGGTGCTATGACTAGCATCCAGACCCCCAAACGCTCCCCGAGCCAGGGAGGGAGGAGGGGCCGAAGCTGCTCCCTCGGCCTCCCTGCCAGGTGGGACCACACAGGAGCCAAGAGACATTACGGCACGCACTCACTTGGATTTGTTCTCCTCATAGTGAGCACTGGTCTTAATGTATCTGGCCAGTTCTATCTGCATATCGCCGAATAAGGGGACCACCTGCAGCTGCTGCAAAGGAAACAAAACACAACATAACAATAAGGAATGGAATGGGAAGATCTCAGAGGGATTTTCTATGATGGCAAAGGAGAAAAGAAGTGAGCATGAAGACACGTGTGGAGATGACTCTGCGTTCCCTCCTATCGGTGGTAAGCTTCTTGAAGGCAGGAACTATTTCACTTTTGTTTTTGTATCTAAGTATAGTATAATGTCTTATAAATTACACACACATAGCAGGCACTTAATGTTTGTTGAATTAAATTGCTGGTTGAACATAGATCTATTCTAGGCTATGGATGTGAACCCAGAACCGATGTCGAGCGAACCTTCTTTTAGGCATTATAATCCCCATTTTACAGAGAAGTAACTGAAGCCTAGGGAGATTAAGTGACCTGCCCAAAGTCACACAGCTGGGCAAGCCAGTTTTAGAAGCCCAAGCCTGACTGCCAGGCCAATGCTATTTCCTCTAGTACCTTCTTCAAATCAGCAGAAAGATTCAAGAGGATTTCCATTATCTTCAAGAACAAGTTGTTGCTATTTCATTTCACTAACAGAAGGAAGTTAGAGACTGGAAGGAATGCAATTGGGATGAAATTATAAAGCTACAGAATTTTTTTTTCATGAGAACATAAAGGAATTTTAACTAAAAAGTAAGATATTGGGACTCAACATTCAAATCAATAAAGCACTGGAAGAGATGCCTGGAGGAGTGTTCTCTTCCCTTAGGGATCCTTAAAAATGAGAGTCTGGTTTGACCATGAGAACAGTTCTGCCTGGAGACATGGGACTGGATAAGATCATCCAATCCATCAAGGTGCTTTAAGCACTTTTTGATCCCATGATCCTCATACAGTGTGTAATCTTGGTTTGGTTCTTCCCATGATATAATGCAAAAAGCCCTAAACTTGGACCCAGAAAGTCTGGGTTCTAGTCCCTGCTCTCCCAATGACAAGTTATGTCATTGGGCCAATCATGTCTCCTTCCTGAGTCTCCTTCCTCACCTATAAAATGGGGATAACAATAACTGCCCTACATATCTCCCAGAGTTGTTGGGTCCAAATAAAAAAAATACGTACAAAATATTTATAAATTGTTAAATATAATACAAATATAAACTGTCAGTGCCTAGTATGTTTTCTGTATGCAGTAGGTATTTACTATATGACTGAATGTAGGATTGAATGGGAACCTTGTTTAAGCAGAAAAGGAGACTAGGAGATGCCTCCTTCAATGACTTTTTCTGGATGACAGAGAGGGGATGTGGTGATTCAGAAACAGATCAACCACTGCCTTCCTCATGAGACAGAATCACAGACTACGGCTTGAAAGCTTCTACGTTGTATCTTCCAGTACCCAAAAGCCCAAACCCAAGTTCCATCCCATTGTGTTTCTGCAGCTCTCCCTATGCGTGCACATGGTTGTGCTCTCATTTATGTCTTGGTTCTTTTGGACACTTCTGTTTGGGGATAGGTAGCACTTCAGACACTCACAAGGAAACCCCCTTGGCTCTCTAATGAGTGGCACCTCCTGCAGCAGAGAGCCTACACTTCAGTTTCCTCACAGCCATCTGACCGGACCCCAACTGTAGACACTGACCTTAAAGAACTTATCTATTTTGCTGAGGTTGATTCTCTTCTTGGCATCCAGTTTGTAAATGTTACTGACGTTTCCATCCATCAAGTAGAGGCCAAAGCCCATGACCTAGAAGAAGAGGGGAGAAAGCCTGAGAAGCTTGGCCCAAGGCATTCCATGGTCGGATCCCCTTGAAAGCCATTCTCTCGAAAGAATACATTTTAAAAAGCACATTACTCATTTCAGCTTCAAATAAGGAAAAGAGGCAAAAGGTTGAGTTCTAATTTCACTTTTAAAAAAAGGCCTCAGTTTCTCCCTAAAGGGACACTGAATGTGTAAGACACTGTTAGATGATCAGTTGAAAGATATGGGTATGTTTAGCCTAGAGAAGAAAGCTAGGAGAGAATGTAATTGGTGTCTTTCAATACAGGGTGTCCCAAAAGTCTTGGTGCAGAAACTGTACCAAGATTTTTTCAGACACTCTGCATTTGATGGTCTGTCTTTTGGAAGTGGAATTAGTCTCATCTGAGAGAGAAGAACCAGAACCAATGAAAGATTTGAAGTTTAGTGAAGACAGATTTCTATTCTACATAATGTAAAACTTTCTAACAGAGCTAATCAACCATGGAATGGGTAGCTTTACAAGGCAGTGAATTTCTTTTTATGAGAATCTTCAAGTAAAGGCTGGTTGATTATTTGTTGCAGAGATTGCAAAGAAGATTTGTTCTCAGGTAGAGGGTGAACTAGATGACCTCTCAGGTTCATGGGATCACAGATTTGGAGACAAAAAGGGGACTTTCTCTTCAAACTCTGATATGCTCTAAGATGTTGCAATGGGCCACTCCCAACATTGTTAGATTTCAAAGAAGGTCTTTTTACAACTCTCACAGGGCATCCTTGGTCAGAAATAATTTTTCTAATAATCTCTTGGATACTGGATTGGTTTTGTTTCCCATATTATACCCTAAGGCTCTTCATAAGACACTACCTATAGGGAATAACCTTTATGAAATAAAAGGAGAGAAAATGGATAGAAATAAAAAAGCACACAAGCCCCCCACAGGCAAAAATTTCCCTTGGTAGCTAAGAGCACATAAATTTCCACTGAAAATCTAAGGAAAAAGTTTGTCTCAATACATCCATCTTTCTGTTCAGTTAATTGGTAAGGTAGCTCCACCTGGTGGTGGTACAATATAATACACTAACATGGAGACAGTGGGACAGATTTTTTTTTTAAATCATTGCACCTGAAATGATAATAATTACTGATATTTATATAACACTTGCTATGTTCCAGGCACTAGGTTAAGCACTTTACAATTATTATCTCATGTGATCCTCACAACAACCCTAGGAAGTAGGTGATATCACCCCTATTTTGCAGATGAGGAAACTGAGACAAACAGGTTAAGTGACTTGCCCAGGGTCACGAAGCTTGTTAAGTGTCTGAGGCCAGATCTGAAGTCGGGTCTTCCTGACTCCAGTCTTGGCACTCACTCTGTCCACTGTGCTACCTAATTGCCCCATATGATTGATTTAAAGGGGGAAGATGACAAAGATGGCTTAAAAAGAAGAATTTAAGGCAATGGGGGAAAAAGAAGGTAAAAGAATGATATTGGTAAGAAAATGAGTAATAATTTGAAAGCAAAGTCTATGGTTACTTGAGCATATGAGTTAAGAATTCTGTCTGGCTATTTGAAACAGCAGAGCCCTAGAAATGCTCTAAGAGCAGGATGACCCTGTTGTCCCAGGTAGGAGGCCTCACTGTCCTGGGCAGGCCTCTCCATTTGGGGAAGTGACCCATAAAATCAAACTCAGCTGTGGAAAACTTGATGGAGAAAACTGAGATAGAAGAAATGAGCAGGGTCTCTTCTAAAGAGACTGCAAAGGAAATGAGGAAGCAGGGCATCATGGGGGAATGTTGGTGTGGCTAAGATTCCTGAAGAGAGTCATTGGGAAAAAGAGGGAGCTCAAAGATAACTGGAGTGGGAGTTTAAACAACCGTGAAAATTCAGGTGAAGGGAAATTTTGAGAAAGAAGAAATGAGTCAAAATGGAGATGAGAGAGTTTGTTTAGTTTGGGGAGTGGTGGTGGGGCTTGGCCCAGAACTCCTTGAGGAGACTCTATCTACCAATGCAGGTAGGGGCCTTCTCGGCACCTTCATCTTAGAGAGGCTCCCTGGGCACTGAGAGGTTAAAGGACATGGCAGAAGTCACACAGCCAGGATGCATTAGAAGTAGGACATGACCCTAGGTCTTCCTCACCCACCCTTTTATTCACCATGCCATTCTACCTTGAGAAAGAAAGAACAATGAAGTCAAATTGGAAATGAGAATAAGACGCAATAAATATGAGGTGGTTGGAGAAACATGGGAAGACTTATGCAAATTAATGTAAGGCAAAGAAAATAGAACCAGGAGAACAATATACATAATGATTGCAATAATTAAAATGAAAATAAGACTAAAAGACAGGAGAATCTGGATTACCATGGTTAATCTGAATCCCAGAGAGGGCAGAATTCTAAACACTGCAAAATTTAGATTATATGCAAGGATTAATCTTGGTTTCAAAGAATTGATAATGAAATACAATCCCCTTCTCTCAGAGGAAAGATGTACTATAGGTGCTTATGCTATTAAATCATATTCTCTGTATATCTGTGCTTTTTTTTTTGGTTAACAATTTTTTTCTTTAGTATTCTATGGGGTTATTGGGAAGAGACAATGGTATAAAAAAGCATTTAATAAAGCATTTAAAAAATGGAGAGGTTAGGAATGGGAAAAACACAAGACAAGATGATATGATCAATAAATCTTTTACCTTAAGGAGCATATGTTTCTCACTGGGGGTCAGATACATCTTATTCTCATAGTAATCCACACAGATGTTGACAATGTCAGCCAGCAGCTCCTCATAGCCTGGGATCACCTCCAATTGCTGATGGAGACACTGAAGAAAGCATCCACAGTGTCAGATACACACACAAAACCTTTGCCCTCAGGACCTTCTGTCTCTGTGTGCAGACTCATCTACCACTGAATGACCCTCTGTAGTGCGATGGTGGAAAGCACCCACTAGGAGGTGAGTCATCTGAGAATCCAGAGAGCTATGAGCAGATTTGCTCCACCATGATGATAATACAAATACTGGCCAGAAGGAAATCATTGAATCTCATTGAGGTTTCCAGAACCATCCTTTTAAATGTCCAAAGGACAAATGGACAGATGGCGTTTGTAAGGAATTTCCATCAACTGGCATTATTAGTGATATCCAATGGCAGTGTCTGGATGACACAATGAAAAAACTAACTCTTTAGGAAAGAAATTATTTCTCTTCTCAACTCCAAGCAATATTATCCAACCAACTGAAGGCAAGATGGACAGTGAAAACCCAGTCCTGGTGAAAGGGATTTGTGCATGACAGCTTTCCACAGAGGAATAGCTATTCTCAGTCTTGAATATGAGGTCCACTGTTCTGTCCCATAACATGTCATTAAAGTCAGCTTGCGTTGAGTGACAGCTGGGAGTGGCTGTGCTCTGGAAGGCCCAAGTTTAAATCCTGCCTCAGGCACATACTAGCTAGGTTACACTGCCTCAGTTTTCTAATCTATAAAACGGGAATAATAATAGCACCTATTTCACGGGATTGTTTTGAGGATCCAATAAGATAATGAATGTAAAGCCTTTTATAGCCTTTAAAATGTTATACAGAAGGCCTAAATTATCTGTCATGCACCTGAAAGCTAGAGACTAGTTAGAAGAGGATACCAAAATCTGACTTTGGGTAGAAAAAGGAAGGCTGAAATCATAGTGGGATGGGTTTTCCCACTGGTTCTTTGGTTTCTTTGGTAGCTTAAGACTATTATAGAAAATTAGACTGGGGAAGAGATGGTCCCTGTGACACAGGGAGTAGGCTGGTCAGTGACTACAAAGCATTCCATTCACGGCATACCTTCCCTTGCTGACCTAGAGTTAGCATTTCTGAGAACACTAACATAGTAGGGAGGGAGGAAAGTGGAGGGAAAAAGGGGGAAGAAGGGAGGGGTGGGGGAGGCTGTGATTGTCACCTGTGTGATCCTGTTATGGTTTGCCAGGAACATGGAAAGGTTCTGAGACTCCTGGATAGACTGGGGATCAGCCATCTTCCTCAGGAACTGGGCTGCTCTGAAATGCAGAAAAATCCCCTCAGAAAATTCCCCAGGAAAGTCCTAGCACTTTGGATCTGAGCTGATGCTGAAGTTTTTCACCCTCTGTATTTATGTTGAAATGAAAGGTCTCGGGTTTCTTCAAGCAGAAGAAGCATTGTGGGTTCTATTTTTACGTGCAAAGCAACTCCTTCAAGGGCCCAGCTGTGGCCTCTCCTGCCCCATCTCCCCCAAACTTCAGATTGCATCTAAAGACCTGTTCTGCAAATCTCTGAGAGGCTAGGCCCTCATCCCGAGTGCCACCCAAAACTCAGACCAGGGGGCCCATTAGAAGGTTTCAGCTACATCCCTCTCCCCAGCTGTAATGAAGGAGAGCGAGGCTTCGGGAAGGGGCTCCCCTGACCTCTTGTAGGCAGAGTGGTCATTCTTAACGCTGCACTTCATGTTCTTCAGCTCATCGAGGACGGCGAACATGTTGATGAACTTGCCCAGGGTCAGGAGGTAGGCCTCAGAGACAAAGTCCTTCCTCCGCTCTGTGTGGCACAGTCTCTTCACCTCACTGCAGAACCGCTCAATGGCCTTGCGCTAGAAAGCAATGCAGGAAGGCTGGAGTGTACTGAAGAACAAAGGTGGCCTGGAAGACCAGCTGCCCTCCCTGACAGGTGTTCCTAGAAAGACTTCCCAGGCCCAAACCTGATTCTAAGGCAGGGTAGAGCCCATGTGCCCCTATGCTACTTAAGGCAAGAGACTCATTCATTTAGCAAGGACTTACTGACAACACTATTTTCCAGTCTTCTCTAGCACTAACCCTCTACTCCAATCAGGTTATTCCTTTCCTTGTCCTCACCTCACATCTCAAGTCCATGCTGGTTCCATAGGCAAATTTTGTTTGTAGGGAGAAGAATGTCTTAGGAGACAGAGTATTGGATAGGAAAATAGGCTTATAGCTGTAGAGCCAGAAGTGACCTTAGAGGCCATCTAGCCCAATCCATTATTTGACAGATGAGGAAACTGAGGCACAGAAAACTTAAGTGACTTAACGAGGGTCATACAGCTAGTAAAGGTCTGAAGTAGGATTGAACCTGGGTCTTCTTGACTTTAAGTCCTTTACTGAATCCTGTCTCAAATACTTGACTTGAGAGTAAGGAAGATGCTGGTTCAAATCCTGTCTCTCATAAGTATGCCTCAGTTTCCTAATATGTCGTATGAGAATAATAAGCTTGTTGTGAGAATCAAATGAGATAGATAATATATGTAAAGTGCTTTGCAAGCCTTAAAGCACAAATGAATGTGAATTGTTGTTGTTATCTTTATTTTGGACTGGATCTGTGATTCCATTAATATAGAGAACTCTGAGTAAGAAAGCTCCCTTTTCCTATGCAGGTCACTGTTTACTTTGCTACTTAGTGTCTTTCAGAACTTCCCTGTTTAAACTTTCCATTCCCTCCCTCTCTTTGCCTCTCCTACCTATCCTTGAGGCCCAGTTCCCCCTTCCCTGGCAACTCTAGGACATGATGATTCTGTCTTCTCTGAGCTCCTAATGTTCTAAAGTTACAGGATCACAGATATGAAATTGGAAGGGACCTTAGACATCATCTAGTCCACGTCCCTCATTTTACAGATAAGGAAACTGAGGCCTAGAAAAGTTAAGTGACTTGCCCAAGTAGGTATTATGCAGCAGAGGCCGAGGTCATCTGACTCCAAACTATGGCTCTTTCCACTGCGTGTTTGTTGCATGTTTGTCAGTTTCACTTCCTCTAACCTGTAAACTCTGTGAGGGCAGAGACCATTCTCTGTGGCTTCTCAGTCACTCAGTCACTAGTTGACTAAAGCAAGATCTTTAGTTCAGTGTAATGGAGAAAGTTAGGGATATAAGAGTAACAGATATTTATATAGCGGCTTAAAGTTCACAAGGTGCTTTGTGTAGATTTGAGCCTCACAGCACCCCAGTGAGATAAGGATTAATGGTATTATTATGTCATTTTACAGATGAGAAAACTGAGGCTCAGCATAGTTAAGTGACTTGTCCACAGCCATAAAGCTAGTAAGTGTTAGAGGAGAGATTTGAATCCAGATTTTCTTGACTACCAGTCCAGCACACTGTCATGTCTCCCTGTGTCTCTAAGGTATGTGAAATGACTCCCACTTTGGTCCAACTGCCTTGAGTTAAAGGTAGGCTTTAAAGCACTAGACCAAGAAAGCAGTCTGTAAAATAGCTGTGATCGTTTTATTACACACACACACACACACACACATATATATATATACACATATAATAAAATTATATATACATACATAAACATATATATACACGTGCATGTTATACGTGTGTGTCACACACAAAGATTTATACATATATACACACAGTACATGTATGTGCATATATGTAAATATAAAAATGATGCACGTGTGTATGTGTATGAACATATATAAAATTATATATACAACACCTACATATAACATATATATTTGGCTACATATGATACAATGATATATACATGCATATATGTGTGTACAAGTACATGTATTTATGTTTCAGTATGGCTAATGTGGAAATATAATTTAACAAAGCGACCATAGAGTTTATAAGGGTGTTTTGTGTGAGGTCTTTTTGTTTGGTTTTGTTTTTTAAATCAGTCACCTTCTCCTATGGAAGACCCTGTAATCTTTTCTTGATGAGAGGATAGTGTAATAATTAGATAATGTATCATAGTAGTAAAAACACTGGTCTGGAAGCCAGGAGACACGGTTTCCACTCCCAGCTCTGCTACAGACTAGCCATGGTATTCAGGGCAGGTCACTCCCCCTTCTTGAGTCTCAGTTTCCCTATCAGTAAAATGAGGGCATGAGAATAGGTAATGATCTTTATGGTCTATTCCAGGCTTAATATGTGATGAAGTTTTGACCTCAGACAAGATAATCTCTCTGAAATTCCATGGACTCATCTGTAAAGTGGGGATAATATCTGTGCTACATACTTCACAGGTATCTAGGTGGCATAATGGGTAGATTGTAGGACTTGAAATTAGGAAGATTTTAGTTCAAATCCTACCTCAGACACTCATTAATTGTATGACCCCAGGAAAGTCACTCACCCTTTCTGTGCCTCAGTTTCTTCATATGTAAAATGGGAATAATAATAGCCTCTATCTCACAGGGTTTTCATGAGGGTCAAAAGAGTGAAGATATATACCTTGTAAATGAAAGCTTAATTATTACTGTTAGTTCCCTCCAATGATTCTTTCAGCTTTGTGATGGACTATTTTTTCTGTGACATTATACAAGTCACTTCCTCTTTCTCAACCTGAGTTTCATCATCTGTCAAAGGGGGAGTTGAGTTAGTCCTCTGCAACCTCTTTAAGCTCTAAAGTTTTTTAAAATATAAAATTATACATTTTAGTAGCTGTCAACAAAAAGCTATGGGCAGAGCAATCAGATCAATATAATCATTGCATCTGACAAAGACATGCCAATTGGCTGTCCTATGAAGCAACTCCCCATCCCAGTGACTCCCCCGAAGAAAACAACCTTCCCTAGATACCACTCCCTAAATGTATAATCTCCCACCATCTGAAGGTAAGCTCCTTGAGGGCAGGGATACCTCACTTTTACACATGTATTCCTAGTTTTGGGGGCAGCTAGGTGGCACAATGAGTAGAGTGCAGGGCCTGGAGTCAGGAAGACTCATCTTCATGAGTTCAAATTTGGCCTCAGACACTTACTAACTGTATGACCCTGATCAAGTCACTTAACCCTGTCTGCCTTAGTTTCCTCATCTGTAAAATAAGCTAGAGAAGAAAATGGTAAACCATCCCAGTATTTCTGCCAAGAAAACACCAAATGGGGTCACAAAGAGTTGGACACTACTGAAATGACTGAACAACAAATTCCCTGTTTAATTCACTGTTTTAACACACTGTCCGTTTGGCATATAGTAAGCATTTAATAAATGCTGTATTCATTCATCCAGAGGCAGCTGGTGGCACAGTAGACAGAGTGCTGGGCACCGAGTCAGGAAGCCCTGAGTTAAAATCCAGTCTCAAACACTAGCTGTATGACCCTAGGCAAATCACTTAACATCTTTTTGCTTCAGTTTCCTTAACCGTGAAATAGGCGACGGAGGGTAATAACAGGATCTACCTCAAAGTTGTGTTGTGAAAATCAAATTAGATCATGTTTTTTTTTAAGTGCTAAGAATACTGTTTGGCACATAGTAAGTACTATATAGATGCTAATTCCCTTCTCTCATTCATTCATTTATTTATTCATTCATTCATTCTTTTAGTTAGTCCATTCAACCAAGCAAACTCAAAAAATAAGGAGCAAAATGTTACCTTTAACAACTGAGCCTTTAACAAGGCAGGACGTAATGAATGAACAAACATCCAATTCCCACCCCCTTTCCAATGCTTTTGTTCTGTGTCCCTTTCCAGGCCTGCTGGAAGTTTTAACAGCCTTGCTCCTGTCTTTCTTCCTTCCTTCCTTCCTTCCTTCCTTCCTTCCTTCCTTCCTTCCTTCCTTCCTTCCTTCCTTCCTTCCTCTTTTCTTCTCCCTTTTTTATACAGTTGCAGGCAGAGTGTTAAGGTCTGTTCTGCTGATTTTCGATAAGCTGCGTATTCTTTAAGAAAGGAACTGACTGCGCAGGTCTCTCATTCCCATCTGACCTGTTTCCTGGGTCAGGTGTCAAGGGGAGGATGAGGCCCTCCAAAGACAGTGGTCATTGAGTAACAGTAATAATAAGAGGGTCGTAAAAGCACAGTCACCATTGCTCAACCTCAATGCAGCCAAGTGACCCTGCACCATGTGGGGGTAGCTGTCAGAACATTGTTTTGACTTCTCTGGTTATTACTTCTCCTCCTGCATGAGTGGATATGATGATAACATACATTCCAATCGTATTTCAAGGCTTGCAAAGTGCTTTAGGATCATAGATTTAGAGCTGGAAAAGACCTAGAGTCCATCTAATCATATACACATATGTCTGTCTGTCTGTCTGTATGTATGTATGTATACATACACACACTTATACACACAGGTGTGTGTCTGTGTTTATAATCTTACAAATAAATAAATTGAAGCCTGGAAGAAATTAAGCAAGATCACACAGACAGTAAGTGGTAGAGCCAAGATTTGAACCCAGATCCCCTGACTCCAAATTCAGTTCTCTTTCCACTGTACCAAGCTGCTTTCCTCACAACAACTTTATGTGGCAGGTCACAAAAACATTTTACAGATGAGGATATTGACCCTTAGAGAGGCCAAGTGAATTGCATGGTCATATAGCTCTGAAGTGTTTGAGGTGGGATTCAAACCCAGGTCTCCTGACTCCAAGTCAGTCCAGCACTCTGCCCATTATGCCACACTGCCTATAAACGGTGGGCACTTCCAAGGCAATTAGGATATGGGAAGCGGCAGGAACCTACAAACCCTCACCTTTGCAATAGGAAGGGACTCTTCAAAGATCCCTTCGCACCCTGTTCCACCTCCAGGCTGTGCCCTTACCTGAAAGTACATGAATTTCATCAGTTTGGTGACCTCTGGCTCCAGTACCTCCACCGTCTTCTCATAGATCTCTACACGATTCGGCTGCTCATTACATTTTACCTGTGAGGGGATAAGAGGCCAGGGAGTGATGGGTGTTTTGGTGATAACATAGGGGTAGAGGACTCTGGCTTGGCTGGGGACTGGAAGGACCCAGCAGAAGACCGGCAGAGACAAGCAAATAGCCATATCCAAGAATTTCACCCGCCTTACTTTCCTCCTCATCTCTCTGTCCTGATGCTGATTTGTGCACATCTTCCCCTCCCACCTTTTTCTTCTATTCTTACCACCTCTCGCAATGCCCCTCTTCTCCTTTTCCAGTGGAAATAGACGGACAGGGAACAGATTCTGGGCAGGGAAGAATGCTCTATCCATCCTTCTGGGGGTGGGGCACAGAAGGTAAAATGCAGTGGAATGCTGGTAAATGTTTAACAACCAGCTCTCGGAGGGTGAGTGTGTGGGGATGCACACACAACACACTTATCAGTTTGCTCTTCATTATTAACATTTTCTCCGTCACTTTCTCCAGTCTAGACAATCAACAAAACAATAAATCAAGCCCTGAATTGGAGAGCTTGCCAGTTTCCAAGATATAGATGTGTGCATTGAAAAGTTAACAACTGGATCCTGAGAGCTGGTTCGAACTGGCTCGAGCTGGCTCTAGCACATCATAGATCCCCACTGTCCCATCCTAAGCTCATAGGAGTCAGAGTGCAACGGGACAGTAGCAGTCAAGTTCAACCCCACGATTTCCCCAATAAGAAAACTGAGACCCTGATAGATGTGAACTGACTTGATGAAGGTCACATGAGCAATAAACAGTAAAGTCATGATAAGAACCCAAATGCTGTGACTCCAAATAGTGTTCCTTCTGTTCCATCACACTGCCTGCCACAAGTAAACCAGAGGAAAACCCTGTCCTATGTGTAGAGTTGGGCAGACTAGGAAGGGACCTTGTTAGGGATCAAAAAAAAAATCCATTTGTCATGCTTTCTATGAATCATAGGCATTTACTTGATATGTCAAGATAGCATGGCGGCATGGCTAAGGAGCCGGCCTCAGAGTTAGGACTCCCTGGGCTGGTCCCATCTGACACACACTGGCTGTAACTGTGGGCAGATCACTTAACTTTTAACGTCCCTGCTCAACTTGCTAAGGCCAAAGGGTGTGGACCAGAGCCAATTTTCACTGCCAGGGGTTTCCTCAAGCAGAGGGCCTACACTAATGAAATTTTATAAAGTCAAATAATTTATGCTATAGTCTCCTCCAGGGACATGTACAGTGGAAAGAGCACTGAATCTGGAGTAAAAAAATCTGGGTTCAAATCCTGGCCCCAGTAACCTTGGTCAAATCCCTTCCTCTCTTTAAGATGCATTTTCCTCATCTGTAAAATGAGAGGGTTGGGTGAGCTGATTTCTAAGGTTCCTTCAGCCTCTAAATTCAGTGACCTTCTTTGTAAACCTCTATGAATTCCTCCCCTGTCTAGGAAGAGAGTCTGTCCTTATATATGACTACTTCTTGGTGTAACACATCAGGCAGCAGCAACCACTGAAGGGTGAGGAGAGGGAGAAGATGACCAGATTCCAGGAAGTTTCTTACCTGGGGGATGGCCCGTGAGCAGCTTCTCCAGGTGTAAAGCATGACTGCATATTCATGCCCTTCTTCCAACATTTCATTCTGCAACAAAGAGATAAATATCTATGTTCCTAGAACTCCAGACAATGGTAAGAAACAGTTCCTGCTCCCTCAGTCTCTAAAAGAAGCCCCCAAATCCCTGTTCAGAACCCCGACTGCTTCCACAACAAATTCTAATTTCCAGACAAATGATCCAACTGAAATTCAACACAAATAAGACTACAGTGAGTGAATCCTTTCATGGCTTCCTGGCCATCTCCACTTCGGTCATCATTTCTACCTCCTCCCTCCTAGAACTTTGAACTCTACCCAAGAACACCCTTAGGCTCTGATAGGTAATCTTTCACTTATTTTGCTTGGATCTGGGCCTCCGTCTCACTTCCCAGCCTTCTCAAAGCCATGCCTTCTGGGTGGGTGCCTGCCTTTCCACACCCAGGCAAATTCATACCCCCTCTATATGTTATCTTCCCCTAGTAGAATATAAGCTTTCTGAGGTCAGAGGCTATTTTTCTTATTTGTATCTGTATCCCTAGCACTTAGTGCAATATCTGGCACAAAATAAGTGCTTTTTAATGTTCTTTTTATCTTATCTTACCTATTTATCTATCTATCTAGGCCATTCATCCTTCCAGCCAACTATCCATCTATCCACCTACCTACCTATCATCTATCTATCTATGTATGTATCTACGTGTCTATGTATCTATGTATCTATCTATCTATCTATCCTGCCAGGCCACACTTGCATCTGAAATAGTAAGATTACATAGATTATTTTTGATTTGTAATAATAAAAAAAGAGATGTGGAATGTTGTAGTGGACAGAGAGTTGGCTTAAGAGTCAAGCCCAACCTCTGTGACACATTGACTGTGTGATCTTGGCCAAGTCACCTAACTTCTTAGTGTGTCAGACAACTCTCTAAAACTCTAAGTTGCAGAACACTTGCTGTTCTGCACTGGAAGCTGGGAGAAAACTATGCCAGTGAAATCATAGGTCTGGTGAATAATAATAATAATAATAAAATCCACAAAATGCACTTATTTCACCAGATGTGTTACCGATCCTCTTTCTACCAATTTACCTATCTATTGCCTCCCTTCTCTGGTTCTGACTTTCTGGATTTCCACCTCATGCCTCAGCTGCAATCTCACTCTGGAACCTTCCTCAGTATGTGGGGCCTCCTCACCCTGGAGCTGCCATCCTTTATGTGGGTCCCCTTCTCCTAGTGATGAGTTCCTCCCAGGCCTTCCATTTTGGGGAGCAGCCCAAATGGACCAACCTTCATTCCCCTCCCATCTCTGTTTCCGACTTTCCAAACTTCAGTACTATGTCTTAAGTACAGAACCTCCTTCAGCACCTGGGGCCTCCTCACCATGGAGCATCCATCTACTCCTAGCCCTTCTCATCCTGAAACAATGGCCCACTTCTCCCATTGGTGAGTTCCTCCTAGCAGGAGAGGGGAAGCTCCATATGCGGAGAGGTTCAAGCAAGGAAACCCTCATCTCCTTACCAGCTAAAGACAGCTTCTGACTTCACAGACTTTGATGTCATGCCCCTGCAGGAACACTTTTCTCTCCTCCATCTCCCTTTTACGTTTTGTCTTCCCCCATTAGAATGTAAGATCTTTGAGAGCAAGAACTGGCTTCATTTTGCTTGTATTTGTATTCTCAGTACTTAACACAGTGCCTGGAATAATTGCTTAATAAATACTTGTTGACTGTCTACCTATCAATGTAGGCGAGTGTAGCTAATTGCAGGGGTTGGTGGTGGTTTTGTTTTCTAATTAGCTCTACCTTTTAGAGCAAATATTGTCTAGAATCAAATGTTCAGTTCCCAAACTAGTGCTTAAAAAAAGAAAGAAAAGAAGGAAAGAAAAATGGAAGGGAAGAGAAGGAAAGAAGGAAGAAAAGAAGGAAGGAAAGGGGGGGGGAGAAAAAAAAAGGCTTTGCACTAAGACCACAGAAGAGCAGCTGGTAGAGTAAGACCCAGCCAGCAGGCATCCTTCTACCATCTGCCCCCAGAGTTCACATCAGAAAAGGGAAGCCATAATGAGAGAGATGCTTTTTTCCACTGAATAGCACTTAACCCACCCCTTCACTCCCCTAGCAGGGTGGGTACTGGCCATGTCTAGGCTGGGGGTGTTGGGAGGAGACTCTGGGGTTTCCATGTGTATACAGAAGGAGGAGGTGCTTCTTCAGAGCTAGAGCTGCTTGGGCTAATTGTTTTGCTTCACTGCATATGTGGATGAGAGGACACTCATTTTCTTCTGAATGGCAACACATTCTGATTTCAGACACTGAAGGTTCCTAAGGGCTCTCCAGGCCCTTCGATTATTTGGATCATAGTCTGGGTGCTTGGCTATTCTCAATGGGGCACTTTGTCATGGGACATACTGTAGCCATCTCCAGTTGTATTAGATGGTAGTCTTGTCTCCTTTGTAAGGTGTGCAGACAACCTTATGGATGCAGGCTAGAGAACTAAAAGGAATCTTAGAAATCATCTACCCCAACTCCCTCATTTTATACATGAGTTAACTGAGGTCTAGAAAAATTAACTGACTTGCCCAAGGTCACATAGAAGCAGAGCTACTGGGATTCAAATACAAGTCTTTTATCTTATACTTCCCTGACATCCCCACAAGGGACAACATGGTACATCGGGTAGAGGACCAGTCTAAGAGTCAGGAATAGTTAGGGTTCAGGTCTTGCCTCTGATACATACTATCTGCGTAACCATGGGCAAGTCACAACTTCTTAGGCCCTCAGGTAAATAAGTTATAGACCAGTTGACAATTTGTATCAAAGCAAGGAGTGTCCACATTGGGATTTCCCTACACTCATGAAATCACAGATCTGGACTAAAAAATATCCTCCCTCCCCACCCAGGCTGGGCATACACGAGATGCCATATATATATATATGTATATAGTCCCAGAAATTTGCACTGAATATGTGGCACAGTAAAATGGGTGCTGGATTTGGAGCTAGAGGATCTGGGTTTGAATCCTGGCTCTGCCATTTCCTACCTCGGTGACCTTGCACAAGCCGCTTCACTTCCTGAGGCTAAGTTTCCTTTTCTGTAAATTGAGGGAGCTGGGCAAGCTAATGTCTAAGGTCCCCTCTAGCTTTAAATCTATGGTCTAGCAGTTTTCCTAATTGAGTGCTCTAGTATGGTCTTCTAGACAACTGAAAAAAAGATTATTTAATTTTGATTGAAATGGCGGAGATAGTCTGCTAGAATGGAAAGAGCTCTGGATTGAGGTTGATAAGATCCAGGTTTTAGTCCTTATTCTTCTAGTAAATGGCTGTGTGTCATTAGCATGACACCTCACTTTTCTGAGTGTTCAGTCATTTTTTAGTAGTGTCCAACTCTGTGACCTCATTTGGGGTTTTCTTGGCAAAGATACTGAAGTGGTTTGCCATTTCCTTCTCCAGCTCACTTTAAAGATGAAGAAACTGAGGCACCTAGGGTTAAGTGACTTGCCCAGTGTCACATGACTAGTGTCTGAGGTTAGATATGAATTCAGAAAGAGGAGTCTTCCTAACTTCATGCCTAGCACTCGATCCATTATGCCATCTAGCTGTCCACTTTTCTGTCTGTCATCTATAAAGTAAGAGGGTTATGCCAAAGGGACCTAAATATCCCTTCTAATGCTGAAATTCTAGAATTCTTTGAGATATGTTCAATATTCTTAGAGTGTAGGTGATGTTACTTGTATTTCAGAATTAGTTACAGAAAAGATTTTCAGTTATGACTTTGAGGGCCCATCCTCATAAAACAATGCTCAACTGATTGACATTTATATTTTATGCAATATGTTCTTCCTCCTTCTCCTCCCCTTTGCTCTGGCTGCTATACCTGTTTCCCTGTCCCCAAAGGGAAGAAAAATTACATAGAAAAGCAAGCTTTCATTAGTCCATTCTACTCATTCCAAGCAGCCGTGATGGAAACTTTGATAAAATTGAAGTCCATTTCACTGTTGATCCATTTCATTTGTTCATGGTGCCCTCCACCCCATAACAATAAGTAAATAAGAAATCTGTGATGTCAAAGCACAATACAAATCCATGGTCCTGTAGAAAAGTCAAACAATTTACATACTTCTCTGGGGAAAGGGGAAGGGAATAAATATTCATTAAGTGCCCACTATATACCAGGCGCTATGTTAAGCACTTTAATAATATTATCTCATTTGATCACTACAACTTGGTGAGGTACATTTTACAGTGCAGGAAATTGAGGCAGATAGAGGTTAAATGATGTATCCTGGGTCACACAGGTAGTAAAAGAAAGAAATGATTATTTCTCTTATATTAATAACCAATTATTAACCATGATTAAGGTTTTCCCTTTCTGTTTCTTCATTGAGAAATAAACCTCTGTAGGTTATACAGTCTTTGAAGGACACTGCTAATAGAAGAGACAGCCCAAATCCTCAGGGTACATGCTTGAGTGGGATCCTACCCAACTAGAAAACCTTGCAAAGAGAATCTAATCTAGGTGAATTCTAGCCCCTTGTGTTTTACTCAGGCAGGTCTAGATTGCCTGAGGTGGGGTGGTCTGGGCAGTAGCACAATCAAAATCATGTCCCCCAGCTCCTCATTATAATAAGCCCAATTCTCATTATAATATTCATTCCCTTATTAATTGTTAACCAATCAAAGTTTATTTCTATCTGTCATCTGTCTATCTTCCAAGGGCAATAAGTATTGATTGACCTCCATGATGGTCTTTGGTTTACAAAGAAAGCCAAATGACCACCATTTTATTAATTATCTGCTAGCCATAACTAATAAAATTGATTATTAATTACCCAGAAACTATGTCTCTTGAACTTTCCATTCATCGCAGTTGTAAAGGTCTATGGTCAACACTGTAACACCTAGCTGCCTCTGGCCCAAGAACTTGGAGTGCTCAGTTTGACTGAAACCCAAGAGTAAAGGCAAAGGACACTGGGGAGGAAACCGAGCTGAAAGGCATTTGAAAGGTCTGGTACCTTTGTGCCATGCATGCAAATAGTATTTAGTTCCACTTGAAAAGTTTTAGGCCTGGGCAGCTAGATGGCACAGTGGATAGAGCAATGGCCCTGGAGTCAGGAGGACCGAGTTCAAATTCGGCCTCAGACACCTTACACTTACTAGTTGTGTGACCCTGGGCAAGTCACTTAACCCCAATTGCCTCACCAAAAAAGCAAAAAAAAAAAGTTTTAGGCCACAGACTTTGGCTTTTGCCCTCTAGGATACTCCCCTAAAGCCAACCCCCAATGCCCCATCAGGGCTCGAAGTTGGCGCTGGGATTTCAAAGGCCTTACCCATACAGCATCAGCTATAGTAGAAGCCATTAAACTAGAAAAGAGTTAAAAACCAAAAAACAAACAAACAAACAAAAAGCCAGCCCATGCAGAGGTCATCTGAGAATCTGCCTGACTAAGGGAACTGAAGGTTCATCACCAAGCAATGATTTATTCAGGATACAGTAACTCATGAAGACTAAGATGCAGAAAGACTGTTGTCTGTGGCTGTGATGGAGAAGCCCCACAACAATGAAAATATGGATTTTAAAAACTGTTGAAGTCTTCCCCAGCTCCTTTGCAGAGGTGGAAGACTATGGGTGTAGAATGTCATATACAATGGCAGGCTTTTTTGCTACATTGGTTAGCTTTTCTCAACTTTTTCCCCCTTCTTTTTTGTTCTTAGCTCTAAGGGATGGCTCTCTGAGAGGGGTGGGAGGAAGGACATATTGGGAAATACAGATGATGTAAAACAAAACATAGCAATAAAAATTATTTTAAAAACAAGCAAAAAATTGAAATAAGCCTTGACTATGTGCAAGACTTTGCACCTGGTGGTGAATAAACTGCTCACCATAGAAATAGTCTTTGCCCCAGAATAGCTTGAGGAGACTAGATTTATTTGGGGAAAGAAAAATATCAGAAAATGTGGCAATACTAAACAAAAGGGCTAAAGATTACTGTAAATGGGCAGTTGGTGAAGGTTTCTCAGAGTGATTGGGTTGGAGATGGGCCTTGAAGGATGGGGAAGACTTAGAGAGGAAGAGAGGAGAGAAAGCAACATGAACAATAGTAAGAAGTAGGGGTCAGTGAGCATGATATTAACATGTTAGATAGGCCAGAGGTCTGGGAGAATGTGAATTGGGACAACTGACTGTAGCTGAGGCTATTACTGGGGGAATGAATGACTGCACGCTTCCCCCCTGTCAGATGGCATGCCATATTCTCTCCAGCTTCAAAGATCTACACATATGTATATATGTGTGTGTACATGCAGATACGTCTTCAGAGACTCACCATGCTGGAGTGCACTGTGGCCTGCTCAATGTACCTTGCAATGCCTGTCACAAAGGCATTCCGGTCCTCAAAGTTTGTGTCAAAGTTGGCCTATGGAATAAGAAATGATTAACAGGCACATTTCAGAAAAAAAAACCCTGGAAAGATTTGCACAAACTGATGCAAAGGAAAATGAACAGAACTAGGAAAACACTGTATGACTCAGCTCTTCTCAGCTACACAATGATCCAAGACAATTTACAAAGGACTCAGGAAGGAAGATGCTACCCACATCCAGACAAAGAACTGATGAACTCTGAATGCAAATTGAAGTATATTTTTTCCACTTACTTTATTCTTTCTTGTATTTTTTTCTTTTGATCTGTTTCTTCCTCCACAACCATGATGAATACAGAAATATGTTTTACATGACAGCATATGTATAAACTATATCAAACTGCCTGCCATTTTCAGAAGAGGGAAAGGGAGGGAGGGAGAAAAATTTGGAACCCAAAATCTTGTAAAAATGAATGCTAAAATTTTTCTTTATATGTAATTGTGGGGAAAAAATAAAATACTATTTAAAGCAAACAAAACAAAACAAAGTTGGCGTGTGGAAATCTAAAGTTTAGAAGTCATTGCCAAAAGGGAAGAGAACAGTTCCAAGGGCATTAAATGTCTTCTGTTGAGTGGGGTTTGGCAACTGGGGATCTCATTGCTTCCACAAATCATAAAAAGTTTGAGATACCTAGTTAAAACAGAATAGGTCACTGTGGTGTGAGTTTTACAAAGCAGGTCAAGGGAACTGTAGGAATGCTAGGTAACCAGGCAGAATCTTCCAGCACTTGGAGTGATGGTATTCTCCCCAACCAGACAAGTATCCTGCCAAAACCAAAGTCAGGTACAAAAAAAAAAAAATGTTTGGGCTTTCAAATAGGAAAATATTCCTCCATGACCTTCCCATTTCTACCAATCAAGAGATGGATCAATCAATCAGCCCATAAGCATTTATTAATTACCTACCATGTGCCAGGAATTGTGCTAAGTGCAAGAGGTACAAAGACAAAAGAGAAAAAGTCTTTGCCCTCAAGGAGCTTATATTCTGTTGGGTCAAGATGAGTACACTAGTCAAATCTGTATCATAACAACTATAATAGTTAGCATTTATGGAGCACTTTGATGTTTACAAAGCACTTCACATGTTTTTTCATGTTATCCTCACAACAACCTTGAGAGGTAGGTGCTGTTATTATCCCCATTTTACAGATGAGAAAACTAAAGCTGAGAGGTTAAGTGACTTGCCCAAGTTAAAACAGCTAGTACTTTTCTCTACTGAGCTACTTAGCTCCAATAAGTGTTATATCAACAGGTGGTTAATTTCATGCCTACTATAACTGACTAGGACTTTGGACAAAAAAAGTCTTCTAAAATCCCCCTTCCAATAAGGAGGTCAGGGCATGACATGGCATGACATGGAGGTGATTCTAGGTGATGGGTATTTTGCATATATTCTACATGTACTTATATGTGCATGTGGTGTCTCACCTACTAGAACGTAAGATTTTTGAGGGCAGGGATTGTTTGTCTTTATATGCCCGCACTTATCCCAGTGCCTGACACAGAGTAAGTCCTTACTAAATGCTTATTGATTGATCAGATTCTGAAGTATTGAAATGTTGGAAGGAAGTATAGTACTGACAATCCACTAGCCCCTGGAATTATTTATCAGCCCACCAGGAGGTACATAGGTAGAAAGATAAATGAACCAACATGGTGGAAAGCTTAACTCGCCCAGAGTGACTGGGTCACTGGCTATTTGCAAGGCTAATTGGATCTGCATCAGGAAGCTCCCCCAGCTGCATTTGCTTCCTTGGGTAAGCCAATCAATATTTATTACAAACATTCTCTTTGAACTTAAGTTAAAACAAACAACCATGACCCAGGCTCCCCAAGATATTATCTGCTTTAGGGAGCCAAGAGCCTTTCACATACATGAAGGAAATGTAATTACCCATTTAAGCTCCAGGGGTTTTTAAATTGCAATATTTAATTCATGAGGTCAGTGCTGCTAAAGCTGAGATTGGTTCAGCAACTGGAGCAGTTAGTAAGTTAGTTGGGGTCACAGTAGACCAGGGGAGGGGAAAAGGCCCTCACATATACACTTCAGTCTATTCCTTCAGAAGAGTCAAGTCTAAGGGTATAAGAGGTGGACAGCTGCCTAGGGCACCATATGCAGGGTGGTATAACAAGGTACACTTTCTAACACAACTTTTTATAAATGCACGTTATCTTTCAGGTCAGAAAATTCTCCTCTCCACAGTCCACAAGGGTTTATTTTGCACCAAGGCAAGCTGTATACATTATTGTGAAGGCATAATTTCTTAATTTTGACAAGAGAAGATAAGGGCTTGGCTTGACCTTACCCTCCACAGCCACTTTCCTAACCTGCACCTGGAACTGGACCTCCTAACTCATTATTTTTTACCTCCCTGATGCTGGCCTAGGTCTCCAAATTACCCTTCAACCTCCCATCTGGTTGTGAATCGATCTTGTCAGGGGATGCTTGAGCCTTGCAGCTCTGGGCCTGATCCTGGAAGCACTTACTTGGTACATGATAGAAGATGGTGGAGGTTCGATGCATGGCTGCTGGTCGGGGAGAGGCAGCTCCTCCAAGAGGTCCACATTGGACAGGGCATCTTCCAGGGTGACGTGTGTCGTCATGGTTGTGGCGTCTCAGTTCTGTTCTGGTCACGGAGTGAGGGAAGAGGTTAGAATGTTTGGAAACTTCAGTTGTTGCCAGAAATTCCTCCCCATCCCCACCTCCAGTCAATACACTGTAGCTAAGCTGAGGAAAGGAAAATTGCCTTGCAATCAATTCCTGTAATTAGTGGCTCTTCCACGGGAAACTCCTATGGCGATGGCTCCTGCTAAGCGACCAAGAGAAATGACTTTATAACAAATGTTGAATGAGAACCAGAGACCTACACAGACACTTCCTTTCTGAATACATATCTTAGGTCAGAGGTTCTTAGTTTTCATTTCATCTTCATTCTTAGTTTTCATCCCTTTGGTAGTCTGATGAAGTCTATGGACCCCTTCTAAGAATAATGTTTTAAAATGCATAAATATGCATACATAGGATTGAAAAGGAAACCTATTACATAGAAACCATCAAAATATTAAAAAAAAGTTCACGGACCCCAGGTTAAGAACCTCTGCCCTAGAACATTGAACTTTAGAAATAGAAGTTTAGGGAACCTCTGTTAAAATCACAGGATCCCATGACTTAGAAGAGACCTTAGAGATCATCTCATTCAATCCCCCTCATTTTACAGACAATAGTAATAACTCCCACTTGCCCAGTGCTTAAAGGATTAGAAAGTGCTTTTGTTTACATCAGTTCTGTAAGGCAGCTAACATGAGTACCTCCCTCACCATTTTACAGATAAAGAAACTGTGGCCCGGCGATTAATTGTCACTGTTGAGATGTGAACTCTGGTCTTCTGACTACAAATCTATTGTTCTTTTTGGTCCATTATATGGATAGGGAAACTGAGGCACAGAGAGGTAAAGTCAATCCTCCAACGCAAGAGTGGGGAACCTGTGGCCTCAAGTTCACACGTGGCCCTCTAGGTCCTTCGGTGTGACCTTTTTATCGAGTTCAAGTTTTACAGAACAAATCCTTTTATGAAGAGGATTTGTCCTGTGAAGTTTGGATTCAGTCAAAGGGTCACACCTGAGGACCTAGTGGGCCACATGTGGCCTTGAGGCTGCAGGCTCCCCACCCCTGCTCCAAGGTCACACATTCCCTATCAGACCTGGGAGGAAGTTGAGAACCAGAGAAGTTAAGTGGGTTATTCATGGACACATAGCTAGGAATATTAGAGTTAGACTCTAAATCCCGACCTTCTGACATCATGTGCGGCTGCCTTTCAAATAAGACACAATTCCTAAAGCTGTATAGATATTAGGTTTGGTCCAAAAGAAATAAAATTCTGAAAAGCTGAGAAGACTTGTATGAACCGATCCAGAGTGAAGTAAGCAGAACCAGGAGGGCGGTTTTTACAGTAACAATATTTTTAAGACAACTTATAAACTTAAGAGCTCTGATCAACATATAATGACCAATGATGATTCCAGAAGCTTCATTATAAAATATGATACCCGCCTCCAGACAGAGAGGTGATAGACTCAGGGCACAGAATGCAACATATTTTTTTGGTCATGATCAATGCAGGTTTTTTTTATTGACTTTCTATGTTTGTTATGACTTTTGCTTTTCTTCCTTTAAATATATATGTATATATATATATTTTTTAAATAAAAGAAATGAGATCTTGACAAATAAACCATTTTTTTCAGAGAAGGGAAAAAATTGTTTCGGGACATAGGTGTTTAGAGAGCCATACTAATCAAATGAGGCCCAAATACAAAATTCTATGTCCTGGGTAAGATCTTGTTGGCAGGGTGCAGGGCTTAGATGATCTGAAATGAGGTGGAAAGGAATTCTTCAGAAAAGGAGTTTCATTCCTGCATATCAATGTGTTTGATGTTGGAGAGAGGAAATGAAGTGAATGATTGTAAATACTGATTAAATCATAAGGTACAACTAAATGGTCACAATATGAAATTGGGGAGCCATGATCTCTCCTTTGTCTCATGAGCTGGGAGAAAACTCAGAGACCATTTAGTCCAGAGGTTCTTAAGCTTTTTTGTATATTTAACCTCTTTGGCAGTCTGTTTTAAAATGCATAAATTAAGAAACAGAATTACAAAGGAAAGCAATTATATTGAAATATGGTTATCAATTTTTTTTTAAAGTTCGCATACCCAAGGTTAAGAACCCCCTCTCCATCCCTACCCTCCAGGAAAATAACATATATAGAATTAAAAAGGAAACTAATTATATTGAAAAATGGTTATAAAATTTTTTTAAGCTTATATAACCCAGGTTAAGAACCCCTAGTCAAACTCACCCCTCTTATTTTATAGATGAGCAAACTGGGGACCTGGGAGATTGCGACTTGCCCAAGAGCAAGCACCTAGTAAATACCAGAACTAGGACTGGAACCTGGGTCCTGTCTTCCTTTTTGACTAACACACTGCAATGTGTCAAAGGCTGGTTGAAAAATCCAGTCATGCATTCGGTGTAGGCCTCATTCTCTCCCCTTTGACTATCATATTTTTAATCTCTCTTTTCATGCTTGGGTTAGTTCTAATAAATAATGGAAGAAAAAAGGGAAGGAAAGAAGAAAGAAAGAAGAGAGAGAGAAAAGGAGGGGGGAAAAAGTAAGGAATGAAGAAAAAAGAGAAAGTAAGGAGGGAAAAGAAAGCTAGGAAGGAAGGAAGAAAGGAGAGAGGAAGGAAGGAAGAAGAAGAAAGAAAAAAGAAAGGGGAAGGAAGAGGAGGGAAGAAAAAGAGAGGAAAGAAAGAAAGAAAGGAAGGAAGGAAAGAAGCAAGAAAGAAAGAAAAAGAAAGGAGAAAGGAAAGAAGAAAGAAAAAAGGAAGGAAGGGGAGGGAAGAAAATAAGAAAAGGAAGGAAGGGAAAAAAGAAAAAGGGGGGAAGGAACAAAGGAAGGAATGAGAGAGAGAAAAAGAAAAGACAAAAGAAGAGAAAAAAAGAAAAAAAATCCAGTCATCCCCATGAGAGCAGAATCTAGCAGGCTGAGGCCAAGCCAAAGCAGGTGCAGGGTACATTGATACCTTGGCAGTCCTGAACCCCTATCCCTTTGGGACCAGCCATATGAAGGGCCAACAGCCTCTGGATCTGATGAAGAAAAGAATCTTCCTAAACCCCTGTGCGGACAACTGAACTATTTCACCCTTAGGTGCTTGTGTGAGTACACCTTCCTGTTATGAACTGCGGTAACAGTTAAAAGCCACAGCCCCACAGGGGCATACCATGTTCAGAGGCGACTTCTCCTTTCCTGTCCTCTGTGTACCACCTGCTGGGTAACCTGACATCCAGGGAGGTGGGAGGCAGCATGATGAAGCTAAGACCTCACTGGCCTGAGAGTCAGCAGACCAGGACACAGCATCAATCCTGGTTGTGCTACTCATTTCCTTTTTCCTCATCTGTAAAACAAAGTTTAACTACTTCTAAGATCCTTTACAATGCAGGCCTTCTCTGATTCTTCTAGATATTTAGTTTCTTCTCCTGGGTTTCCCCAAACCTTTCGAGTTTTTTTTTCTCCCTTTAAACCAGAATGGATCTTGAGGAAAGGAAAGAAAAGAGCACTGCCTGGATTTGGAATCAAAGGACCTGGTTTTGATCCTAGGTCAACTTGAGTTTTAGCCTGCTTAACCAGTTGCGTGATGTGGAGCAAGTCTCTTAACCTCATTGGCTTCAAAACTTTTAATCTGTAAAATGGGGAGTGGGGTGGTGGTGGTGATTGAAGTAGCTAGGATTCTATGTGTTGAGAGCCAATAAATAAATAAATGAGTGAACGAATGAATACACTCATAAAACAGATAAATTAAGAGTGTGAGTGCACATGTATTGTTGTTTAGTCGTGTCCAACTCTTTGTGACCCTGTTTGGGGTTTTCTTGGTAAAGATGCTAGAATGCTTTGCCATTTCCTTCTCCAGCTCATTTTACAGATGAGAAAACTGAAGCAAACAGTATTAAGTGACTTGACTAGGGTCATACAGCTAGTTAAATGTCTGAGACCAGATGTGAACTCAGGAAAAGGAGTCTTCCTGACTCCAGGCCTGGTGTTCTATCCACTGCACCACCTAGCTGCCCCAATATATGGATACACACATATATAAAGGATTCTTATGCCCTTTGCAAAAGCTGTTCCTCTGAATCATTTCTGAGATTATTTACATCTGCTAACCACCTGGGGGAGACCCAAGAAATTTAGCTTATATGTTACAAACTCTGCAGTCTGAAGATCAACTAGAAAGGAGAAAAAAAAAAACCATCTTGAAAATCCCATTTAATTCCATAGATATTCATTAAGCACCCACTCTGCTCCAGGTATTGGGGAAATAAAAAGATAAAAAATGACAGTTACTGATCTTAAGGAGCTTATATTCTATGAGAGATGGACCTAACCCACATGCCAATAAGTATAATGTTAGGTAGGTTGTCACATGGCAATGGAGAGACCCAAAGGACTGTGGGAAAATCTGATGAGGGAAAGAATAGTTTCAGCTATAGAGATCAAGGGAAGGCTCCATTGGAAGTGATGGCAATTTAATTGAGCCTTCAAAGAGGGAAGAAGGAATTAGATGAGCAGAAATGAGAAGGAAGTAATTACAGGCTTGGAGAACAGCCAGCAAGACCAAGGGAGCTCCAAGGCAGAAGAGAATTGGAAGAATGGGTCATAGTCGCATCACTTGAGATGGAAAGTGTGTAAAGGGTAAGTTGTACATACATACATATATGTGTATGTGTTTGTGTGTGTGTGTGTAAAGTAGATTACATATAAAAAGGCTACAAAAGTAGGCTGGAACCTTGAATGCCAGGCTACAGAGTTTGTACAGCACACATACTGTTTCAACTGCTCCAAATCAACTTTACACAGCAATCTTTGGCTATTGCCCAAAGCAAGGTTTGCCTATACGCTCTTGCTTGGGTTTCCAAGCTATTATGGAAGCTTCCTATTGAAGATGATTTGTGTTCTTTACCATTTGCACATGGAATAAGCCCAGCAAAACTGCAATCTCTCCATGTGTGGGAGGGCACAGATTTGTCTTAATAGGCAAATCAGATGCTGTGGACTGGCACAGCTTGGGG